TTTTAATATTTATTTTTTAGTTTTTGGCAGACACAACATCTTTGTTTGTATGTGGTGCTGAGGATCGAACCCGGGCTGCACGCATGCCAGGCGAGCGCACTACCGCTTGAGCCACATCCAGCCCTGGAAAAATCTTTTAGAAAGTCATTTTTGCAGTGTTTATTTTTAAGCATCCCAACCTCTTCCTCTTCCTGAGAATTAGTTCCGTGTCTTGACAGACCTTTTGGTTTTGTAAATGTACCAGAAATATTACTGCAGTTATATCTTTCTAGCAGGTTCTGACAGGACTTTTAGAAGCAGTCTTACAATTTTCCTAAGTTTCATTCACATCACATGAAGGCAGCAACTGTTGGAATATATTTAGATTCCATTAGGGTGCATTTTGCTATCACAATGAGGTCTCTTATGCATCATTTCATCCCATCAGTTGTCATTCCTGAACAGTACAGATATGACAGCAACCTTTAGGTGGTGCTGTTTGGTTAAAAATACCCTTCAAACAGCTTCCGTGCATAGTCCATTGTGTGTGTGTGTGTGTGTGTGTGTGTGTGTGTGTGTGTCTATACACGTGTGGGGGCTACTGGGGATTGAACCCAGGGGCATTCTATTACTAAGTTATGGCTTCAGTCCTTTGTTTTTGTTATTATTACTATTTTTTTTTTTTAACTTTTTGGTACTGGAGAGCAATCCAGGGACGCTTAACTGCTGAGCCACATCCTCAGACCTTTTTTGGGGTATTTTATTTAGAGTCTCACCAAGTTACTCAGTCAGGTTAAGTTGCTCAGGCTGGCTTTGAACTTGAGATCCTTCTGCCTCAGCCTCCTGAGCCGTTGGGACTACAGGCGTGCGCCACCATGCCCGGCCCTTATTTTTTTAGACAGAATCTCACTAAGTTGCCCAGGCTGGCCTCAAACTTGTGATCCTCCTGCTTCAGCCTCTGGAGTAGCTGGGATTAAAGGCACCTGGCATCCTTGAATATTTTTAGGAAAATCTTCCAGGTCTGTTCTGAGTCCTTCTTATTCCAAGTCTACTGCATAAACTAATGGCCGGTTCCCTCTCCTCCCACCTCAAGCACCTCCAGACAGATACTCTCTTGTCACTTTCTACTAATCATGCCTTCCAAAGACCTCCCTGACTCCCGACTCCTCCACGTTTCCTTGGTGGGGTTGCTGCTTCCCTTGTGTCTGGGTGCTAACCACCCAACAGGTGGTTGCGCTCACCTCCTCCCAGCTCATACCTCGGGCTCCCACCTCCTCCTTACCTACTCTCCTCCCCTTCTACTTCCTTCTTTGTTCCCCTTTGCCCTTTTTTCTGCCAACTCTTCATCATATATTTCCAGAACCATCTACTCCTTTCCCCTTATGGTTCCAAAGAGTTGGTGTCATTTGGAGAAATTGTTCCTTGTCTAAATATACCAACATGCATTTTCCTTGCAGCAGACTTGATCTTAGCAACTGAACCCTATGTTCCTAAAGTCTAATCGCCTTTTTCAGTCACATTTCCACTAATATTTAGTGTCTTGTCCCAAACTTTATTTCTCACCAGCACAGAACTCCTAAGTCCCTTGAGGAATCTTTCGGGAGTAGATTCTTCTATACTTACAAACAAAAACAAAACAAAACTAACTGAAAAATGTTTTAAAATATTACATTTTCCAAAGATTTTACTAAAGCATTTATTTTTTTAAACAAAAATATACATTCAATCTTAGATTTACAGCATATAGAAATAATTTATCTGAAGCAATTTGCATTTTTAAAATTGCTAATATTGCACCCAACAGTATAAGTCTTTGACACATTGCATCATCAACCTTTCCCACAATTCAAAAACAGGAGAGAAATCTGAAACTGACAAAATTATACACGCTAACTTTTCTGTAAAAAAAGACAGAGGAACATACAATTCTTTTTATTTACAAGATAAAAGTTGTAAACTTTCAGAAATTCCATGTAATAGCCACACATTCTTTTATTATACCTCGAAAATACATTATAAAATTACAATTTTATTTTCCTGTCCTGTGTCAATTATATACGTGTTGTGATTTCCTCATAGAAATGCACCAATGTGAATAGTCACAGCCTAATGGTAAAGGTGAAAATTACTCCCCAGCCCCACGTTAAAAAGAATTGTTGAAAATACTTCTGCATTTTCAATAGAACGTGGAAACTAGTGTGTTTCTTCTAGATTCGTTTCTCACCTAAATGAGAAACGACTCTAGAAGAAACCATTACCTTCTGGAGAATATTTTTAGTAATTGCCTAAAGTTACCTTCAAAGTTCAAAGGTTATGCTGTGCTTCAGTCTTAGAAATGAAGTTCCCTATAGGAAAAATAGTAGAATGAATTAGACATAACTTTCCTATGTTCTTATATGAATACATGACCAATGTAACTCTACACCAAGTACAAACACAAGAATGGGAAGTTATACTCCATGTATGTATGTCAAAATTCACTCTACTGTCATGAATTACCAAAAAGAACAACAAAAAAAGAATAAAGGTTATTAAAGTATATCCTCAGATTGCCAAATAAATAAATAGATACCATATATTTAGTTTTAAAAACTTTAAGTGTGATTATACTTAGTTAAAAAAAGGGAAGGAAGGAAGGAGGTTCCCACTATCTTCTTCCATCATGATATACAAAGAGTACGTTTCTGTTCAAGGCCCTTATAAAATACTTTATGTGTAGGCAGGCATAAAAGTTTGCTTTTTAAAAGACAGTTTTGTGAAATGTTCTGCAATTTACCATTGATATACCCAAGGTTTTTCTGCTTAAGCATTTTTTCCTCCACTATACACTTGATCTTTCAATTGCTCCCAGGCAGCACTAGGGAAGGCATCCAAAGGACCCCTGCATTTTAGATACATTCCTATTCTATGTAGCAGCAACCTCTCAGTTACCTTGGTAATCAAGGCCAATCACCCTAAGAAAGAATGGAGTAGCTTCTTCCTCCCCCCACACCATATATCTAGTGGGGTAAGTGATATAAAAGAACACTGCCCTTCAAAGGCAGGCACACTAATATTGTTTGGTAGGCATTCTTCTGTTCTTTTTAAAAAATTAATTTTTATTTGACACATAGTAATTGTACATATTTATGGGATACTATGTGATGATTTATATCTATTTATTTGGTGCTGGGGATGGAATCCCAGACCTCCTGCAGGTACTCTAATCTTGAGCTAGCCCCTGCCCATCCCATGTTTCCATATGTGTACACATGTGGAATGTTCAAATCCTGGTTTGTGTATCTCCTCAAACATTTACCATTTCTTTGTAGTGTAAACGTTCAAAATCTTTTCTTCTAGCCTTCTTGAAATACGTTTATTATCATTATAAAGACCCTTCTATGCAATAGCATGCTAGAATTTATTTTTCCAAACTGTAACTTTCTTAGTGCCTGTTGATAATATCCTCAGTTTTCAGAAACTTTTTAAAAAAGTCTCTAAATACTTAGGTGCTTAAAAAAAAAAGTAGGAAATCAAGTCCCTTGGTAGTAGAGGAAGTTACTAAAATATGGATTAGTAAAAATGTGTAAAGTGCAGCTTAACTTGGAAATAAACCCCAAACAGACTGAAATCTTACACTTATGAAAACAGTCTCTGGGAAATTCATGCTTATTAAGATCACAGACAGGAAAATTTAATTGTCATTTTACAATGCAATAGCATTGGAACTGAAATAGAAGACATTTTCTAATTCCGTTACCCTAGATCGAGTCTGAATTGAAACGTTCCCTTTGAATCACAAACTGCATAACCAGATGTATGACAGGGTCTCTTGGCTTTGTTATTGCTCAACAGCTCAACCCAGATCCTTTCTTATAAAGGTTATTGTCTTCTGTATCTTTGCGACAAATTCAGTTTTTTTTTTAAGTTCCTGAGAGTTTTTCATAAAAAAAAAAAAAAAAGACATTTCCGGGCGTGCGCGACCCGCGAGGCTGGCGCTCAGCTCTCCACCGTGCGCCGGTACTCGGCCGTGCCGTCGGCGATGATGGCGTCCAGTGGCGAGCGCTTCTTGCGGATGCTGCGCCCCGAGGAGATGAGGTCCGCGTAGCCGCGCTGGTGCGAGAAGGCGTAGGCCGAGCGCCTAGACGACGCGCCCCGGCGAAACACGTTCTGCCGCCGCTTCCACTGCTCCTCGGCCTTCAACCGCTTGCGATGCTTCTGGATCTGCAGAAGGTGGGAGAAGTGGGAGGGATGAAAACACAGGTGAGGGCATCTGGCCAAAAGGAGCAGGGCAGAAAGGAGCGATGGGGCATCTAGGGCGGATGCAGGCATCACGTTGTGTCCCAATCTGTACGGGGGACGTGGAGAAGCAAGGGCGGTTCTGCATTCTGGCAGCTGGAATTTGGGACGAGTCCCACTTTCCCTAAGCTAGTGCTCTTTCCATGTCACAGATCAGATTGGCACAGGACGAAGAAAAAACTCTGGGCCTCTTGTCCTCGTTGCTACTGCATGTTTTTGTCACTGCCAAAGAGAGCTCTGGGGACAACTGAAGGATGCCTGCCTAACATCTGTTCTCTCCTTTTTTTCTAATGAAAGTGATTTTATACAGTTACCCCTCCTCCATACAGCCACATCCCTGAAGGGAACGGCCTGATTGACTTCCCACCATAACTAATCCAGGAATGGGCCTGGGTCCCAAATCTGGCAAATGAGACCTGAGGGAAGAGTGCTGGGGCCCCTGGGTGAAGCGTTCGGAGGAGCTTAAAGGAAAGCTACAGAGCAGTGAGAGCCTCTTCTCCCCACACCCCACTTCCATCTGACACATCAGATGTGATGCTGGGAACTTCTGTGGTGGCTTCCGGCACCAAGATGATGCTAATAATGAAGACACCAGCTTCTGAGGACATAGAAGGACTTAAGTTCTTTTTTAGCAACATTAAGTTGCTTAACCAATGTAGTGTGAGTTCTAATTTTCATGCATTATTGTTAAGACATTTTGAGTTCACAGCTTTCTGTTCCTTGTTACCCCAAGGCTCCTTCAAGGTGGTGATATTTTGCTTTAAACAAACAGAGGAAAAAACCCAGACTATTTACACAGCAAAATGCTAACACTTGTTAACTTGAAGGGGTAAATATATGAGATTCATTATTTTACTCTCCCTCTTTGTTTACATTTGGAAATGTTTTTTTTTTTTATTTAAATGCAGGCAAACTAAAAATCCCAATCCCAAGCACTTGTTTGCAAGATGGAGTTGGAGAAGAGGAGTCATAAAAATCATTCTAACCAAACTTCCCATGAGGTTTGAGGTTTGCAGGAAAAGTGCTGTTGGGAAACACTTTGGTTTCTGTGGGGGACACTCAAGAATTAGAGGAGGACTGTATCTCTGCATACCTTATCACTTTCCGATGGCCAAATGGTCATTGACAAGAAGCGGACAGCAACGACAGGCAATAAACACACTGCAACAGTCAAGATGATGGTCAACCAAATGTATGGCTGCCTCAGGGCATTGGAAGCGGTGCCTGGAAAGAACAGAGGAGTAAGTCACATGGTCCCTTATCCTAAGGGCCTAGTTCGTATTCTGTAACCTCACACTGATTATCCATGGTAAAGTTTTACAACCAGATTGGCTTCCTCCAAACAGCAATAATTCACCCTTTGTGTATTTTTTAATATACCCAGAAGTTACGTCCAAATATAAATGATGACATTTGTCTGCTCATTTAATTTTGGGATTTAGAAAACACTAACCTGTAAATTGAAATGCAGATGGCAAAAGAACATGTATCCCAGCGCTGTGAAAGTCAAACATGATGCCAAAATAAAGTGCTATGCTTCCAAAAATTGAAAAAGCATTCACAAAAGTCCAGTAAGAAGTATCCAAACCAATCTGTTGGGAAATGAGAGGAAAACAGAGCGCTCATTTGGGGAATTAGCAAGAAAGGAAAGAACTAAGAATTCTGAAAATGGAATTTTGTGTTTTAGGCATGATTTGACTTGAATACTGAGCAATCAGAAACCAAACTATCCTTAACTCAGGAATGAAATAGGGTTGGGATAAGGGACAAAAATAGCACTCATTTTATAAAGTGGTAGAGGTTCATTTGGAGGGAGAACGGGCTGTGCACGCCAGCCTATTTATAAAAATACAGGTGCCAACAGACACAGTTGAGGGAAGCCACACACCTGGAAATTGACCGTTATTATGAGAGCCGAAGCAACAGTCACAGCAAAAGACTGGTAGTCTGAAGGTGCTTCTCCATCTTGTCCCACAGTTTGCAGATAAGCTCCAAGAGGAATGAAGAAGAGGACCATGGATGTTAAGATTCCATGTAACAAGCTGATGAAGAATTTCTTGTAGTTGAATAGTAAGTCTCTTTGTCCCACTACATACAACCCAGGGAATCGGAGGCTTAGTTTGTCACTCACATCCTTAAGGAGAAAACAAAATTAGAGTGATATACTGTCCATCAGGTCAAGAAGTCAGAGATATGCTGCAATCTGTATCTCATAAAGAATTGTGACTTGCTGTTGAGTTCTAAGAAGACAAACTGAGTGGAATAAATCCTGCAATATTTCTCTTGTGCTGAGATCAATCATTGCTTTAATCCACCATTATTTAATAAATATTTAATATTTAATTTAGAGAGGGACTAGGTAGGACATTATTATTTTTCTGCTTATGGAAAATGTTAAAAATGTAAAGAGAATTTTTTTCTTACTTCCGTTGAGAATATATTTATATTCTCTCTCTCTCTCCCTCCCTCTCCCTTTCCCTTTCCCTCTCCCTCTCTCTCTCTTTTCTTTTGTGGTGCTTGGGATTGAACCCAGGGCCTTGTGCATGTGAGGCAAGCACTCTACTAACTCTACCATCTGAGCTATATTGCCAGCCCCTTTAGAGAATATATTTATATTGCTTTGAATTCTTTGGGGAAAAATATTCCCATACAAGTTGGTAAATTAATTTTTAATTATTACCTTTTATTTATTGAGGCACCTTCTCTAAGAATTGCTACTACATAAAATACAGACTAATTTGGGAATTAGACACATAAATTTTGGAAAGTGTAAAAATTTATTTTTAAAATGAGAACATTACTAATATAGAGATAGACTAGACTCTCAGGTGTCTAAACAGTCAGGTCTCAGTGTCTGAAAGGAACATGTAAGCACTGCCAATGAATTCAAGTCACAAAAATCTTCCTTTTTTTTTTCATTATGAAACAAGAAGTACAGCAGTTGTTGCCTGACAGCGAACTGTCCTAGGATTTATTCAGGACAAAGTGAAAAACCAGAAGAATGCACTTAAGTGTTTGCTGTGACCTCTCTAGCAGGCGTTCTACCCAGAGCTCCCCCAGCCCTTGGCTCCTACCTGGTCGAGCAGCCCCATGAGGAGCACCGGCAGGCTGGAGTACAGCACGTTGTACAGTGTGATGAACCAGTCCTCATACGCGGTCTACGGGAGGATTAATTAATTACAAGACTTTGTGAAACCAGTTTGGAAGCACACAAGTACTATTTAAATTTTTTGGTTTCCTTTTATTTTGCAAGGCCAGATTTCTATAAAACGATTTTATAAAATAGAATACAGTTGGAGACATATATAAAAACAAAATAGGCTTCTGAAAGGGATAAAGAACACTGAGCACTCTGATCCCCTACATGGGATAGAGGAAACAGGCTTACTCCTGACAAGAGTTCTATGCAGTTCTGCCTGGAAACAGGAAGTAGGCCCCACTCTGCCCAGGCTCTCCTGTTGCTCAATCTGAGACCCCTCTGACACCATAGCACTGTGGCACGGCTTCAGAGAAAGTTCAACACTATGGGCACTGACTCAGGTTCATTTTTACTCATGTATTTTTCTGCTACATCACCATTTTAACATATTAAATATGTGCCCCTCTCATTCATCAAAAACTAAGAAAGAAAGAAAAAGCCACCACCACCTTCAAATAGAGGAGTGATATTAATAGCGCTATCATTACCTACAATTTCTATATCCCTTTGCCTTGGTCAAAGAGAATTTTACACATTCACAGCTGAACAATCTGCGATCAGTATTTTTAATAACAAGGTAACATGAAAAAATAATCTAAAATGAAGAGAAATATAAGCAAATCCTGTCTCATCATCCAAAGTAAATAAAAATATTTTTAAAGCACCAGAAACATTCTAGAAAAGTAAGTTATACTCTTAATTATGCTCCCAACTGTGAGAAGACACAGAACGCAAACTACAAAATAAAGAAACAAATTTATGCCCGTTGTGGTGGTGCACAATTGTAAACCCAGTGACTCAGGAAGCTCACAGCTATGGGATAGATGTTAGCCTCAGCAGTTCAGTGAGGCCCAAAGCAACTTAAGGAGACCCTGTCTCAAAATAAGAAACAAAAAGGTCTGGGGATGTGACTCAGTGGTTAAGTGCTCCTGGGTTCAATCCCCAGTACCCAATAAATAAATAAATAAATAAATAAATAAATTTGTTTTTGTAGAACTAGAGTTTTATTCACTTAAGAGAAAAGCTCTACTAAATAAAAACTAATGAAAAAATGTTATTTTACCTGTGCTGAGTAGCCATTGAAGAAGGAGTACCAGAAATGAACCAAAGTAAATGCAAAGTTTTTATAAAAGAAATATCGAAGGAACTTGCACATCCTTATGTAAGACCACCGGCCATGCACCAGCAACAGCCTCTGCAGATATCTGAACTGAGCAAAGGAATAGTCACTGGACATGACGGCTTGCATTCCTTCTTGTCCACTTATTCCAACACCAATATGCGCAGCTATATGACAGAAGGAGAAAATACTGAGGATCATAAGCTGATTTTAAAGCAAAACATCCGATAATAATAATGTTTCCACAGCAGGACCAGGAATGTAGTTCAGTGGTAGGGCGTTTACCTTGAATGCATGAGGCCCTGTGTTCAATCCCTAGCACCGTAGGGTGGGGAGGAAAGTTTCCACAGCAAAACAAATAACAAAGGTATACAATTCATGGAACAATACGTACAAAAGCTCTTGCTCCCCATCTTCACCATCCAGCCCGTGAACCCAACTCAAAGTCAGAGGCACATGTTGCTTAACAAAGCATGAGAGAGCCTCCATAAATATTTGTGAAAGGACTGGGTGGGTGGTGAATTCCATTTGGATTATCTGCCCAATTTAGAAGCCACCACAGGGTGAGCCCCAGGCATCCACTATACAATCTGTTTCCCTGTCTCCTTGACCATATCTGGGTCAGCCACCAGCAGATATATCATCTGGACAGATACTACAAATGGGCTTTCTCAATCTGCTTTCTATCCCATTCTAACTAGTGAGGTAGGAAAGCAAATTAAAAAACCCTATATTTCCCGGATTGCCTCACACCTACGTTCTTGTGAATCAGGTTCCATTGCTTAGACCCACTTGTGACTTTAAAGCAAAGTGAACCCCTTTCCTTTTTGAACTCTGGAGCAGAGTTCATATCCATTCCTCAGCTGTCCTAATGTTGATAGGCAACTGCAAAGGCTTCTTAACTGCGAAGCTGTTCAGAGCAATATCAAAGGTAAAAACTCCTCTGGAAAGTGGCCCGGAGGTCAGAGACTCAGCCTGGAACTTGCTTCTCCAGTTCATCCACAGCTTTTGAAGGCACCTAATCTGCTACATTAATTGGTTCCTACAAAAAGTACACACGGGTGTGTTTCCTCTACTAAATCCTAACTGGTAGAAAGACCTAGCTGGGCAAATCAGTCTCTTTCTTGATATTCTAGAACTACCATTCTGGAGTTTGTGTCTGGAAATTTAACATGTAAATTATTGAAGTGAGAAATGAATATATTTCTTTCTGAAGGATTATGAGAGGCAGAGGAATAAAACAGGGAAGGAAAATAGACAGAGGCAGTTAGACAGACAAGACACTAGGTTCCTAGTGCAACTCTAGATCCTGGTCCTAACATCTTCCTTAGGCCTGCTTTTTTGGGGCAGTGTGAGGTATCTTAGTTATCTTTTATAATTAATTAATAATTGTTTTTCTTAAACTCATTTTGGCTGTCTTCCAATACTTGTAATCAAAAGAGTTTTAACTAAGACCCTCTTCAACTCTGAAAGGCTTATTCAGGGCCCATTACGACCTAAGGACATCATTTCTTACAAAGGGGTAGGTTTCTAGAGTGGATAAAAATTAAAAGTCATAATTTTGTTCATCCTTCCAAAAATCATTAAAAAAACATTTTTGAGTTAAAAGAATTGTGAATTTTATTGGTTTTAAAAGTCAGGAATGTAAAGACCAATAGTGAGATCATTTGGAAAAAATGTGTTGGAGAACACAACGACCCTGGCTCGGACCCTGAGAAGTGACTGCCAACTCTGCAGAGTTGCCAACTAGAAGAAGCTTCAAAAACCCCACCCTAATTGCAGAACCCAAGGTCTGGAAAATTCAAAATAATTGTCCAAACCTATGTTTTCAATTATACTTTGCAATTCTAAAAGAAGATATTATATCTCATTTGGCATTTATGATCTCTTTCAAAACACATACACACACACACATTTCTTATGACCAGTTGTGACTGCCAAATGCTCTTTCCACCAAACCATGGCCCTTTTTCCTTTCATGAACAAACCACAGAGGGAGTACAGAGGAGAGGAACCCCGTCCAGGCCCTGGAACCCAATTCTTCAACCTTTTCACTGTGCAGACCAAGGACAGCATGTGAAATGAACACTAGCACGGTTCACACGGTAACAGGAGGCAACTGAGCAGATGCACTATAGGGAAAAACTGCCCCTTCCCCCAAAACATAAGATTTTCCTGAAGTTCCAAATGGAGTGTGAAATTCTTCACTGGGAGGCATGCCTTCAACATTGCTCAACAAACTGAATATTAAAAGGCTTTATTTAATCTCTCTGCCTTCATTTCATCTCTCCTGTAGTTCATGTGTACTCTCGGGGTCTTTGCCCCAAAAGAGTCAACCACAGCCTAGCTGGTATAAGATATCTTCAGGCACAAAACAGGAAGAGGGCAGCCTCTGAGAGTCTATAGACACTTGCTAGGGACAAAACGTGGTGGTCAGCAGAGCACTGTGGCACACACCTGTAATACCAGCGGTTCAGCAGGCTGAGAAGTTCAAAGTCAGCCTCACAACTTAGTGAGGCCTTAAGCAACTTAGCAAGACTCTGTCTTAAAATTAAAATAAATAAATAAACAAAAGGGGCTGGGGATATGGCTCAATACTTAAGCACCACTGGGTTCAGTTCCTGTTATCAAAAAAAAAAAAAAAGAAAAGTGTTGTTCATGATTCCCTCCATTTCTACTATACTATACTGCAAAACATGAAGCATGTTAGCTAGTGGTCAGATTACTTTCAACACCTGAATTTCCCTCCTTTTATGACCAACAATTTCTTCCTGTATATTGTTCTCAAAATTGTTACAGATGGAAGCCTTTACAGAGTACAAAAAGGTACCAATACTGTTTTGATAACTTCTAAGACCTCAGCTTCCCATAATCACATCCCAAATACGTGATCTGTAATTTATATATAAAAGCACCTAATATATAACAGAGCTTAATTAAAAATGTAAAACAACTTAAGAAAAAGAGTTCATCTTGGTTGACTTTGTTCTACCTCCTCGGTATCAAATGGTTGACTCAGAGGAAAAAACCCTCCAGCTTAAATGGTATAATATCATGATAAATCTGCAAGGCAAACGATCCCCTGCCTCTTTCCTCCCCAACATCTAAGAGTCTGCATTAAATTGAATAAAAATAATGTTTGAGTTACCCTAGTTATGTCAAGGATGTATAATGGAAAATAAACTAGAGCTGGCTACAGAAGAAAGAAATAGATTTAATTCAGAGCAAAGAATGCCACTCATATGATAGGACAAGCACATGCAAAAAGCAGTGGAGAGGAACTAAGTAGCTGGTGGCAGCAGATATATGCATTGATAAAAAAGCAAGAAGACATACGTCATATAGATGACTCCTGGGGAGGAAGATAAAGTCGGAATATTCTTAGTATCTATCAAGGAGAAGAAGGAGGAGGAGGAGAAAACTGTAAGAAAAGAAAAAGATGGCCTCATGAGTCACAACATAGCTCAATTAAGATCTAGTTATATATAATGCATTTAAAATACCCAGCACAACAAGGCATGCTTATGTATGTACAGTCGTATAATAGTTCACCTTAATAACAACAAGAATAATAATATCATAGAGCTAGAGGTGACACTGGAGGTATGTTTCTTGTTTTCAGATGAAAAGACAGGCCTGATCATAAGCCCAAGTGCTAAGGTCTCATTAGTTTGGGTATTTTCATTACATGATATAAACTGAGCATCCCCAATTGCAAAATCCCAAATGCCCCAGTATCTCCCAAGTTTTTGAACAGCATTTAAAGAGTCAGGTCTATGCAAATTTTCCCAAATTGAAAATTTCTAAAATCTGAAACATTTCTGGTCCCAGGCACTACACATAAGGGTTATTCTACCTGTCTTCTCTTACAGTGCTTCAGGGAGAGAAGAGGACCAGACTCAGACATGGGCTGAGGGCCACAGGTTTGTTGTGCCTGCTTTACTACCAGCACAACTTTATCTCTCCACACTAGAACTCAGTCCATTAGTGGCAAGTACCGAGGGTCTTCCATCCAGTAAAGTGACCCAGGATGGTCTTTTGGGAGGTCAGTCAGGATGGTGAGACCATGCTGGAGTTTTATTTCAAAGTTAAACATGTTACTTCAGACTTCTATGAGGTGACCCAATGGTAAAGATCCAATAAATTTGCCAAAGGTAAGAAGAAAGCCCTCGAGAAATGCTCAGATGAGAGAGAATAATATTCCCAAAATGAATACCAGAGAGAGAGTTCACCAGTTTATGCTGAGCTTAGCAGAACTATTTGCAAAACTTATTAAATATCAGGGTTTTAAATAAGCTTAAAGAAATAAAAGAGAAGATCTGGCAAGAGGGGGAAAAAATCACACCAAACAGGAAAAAGTAGGAAACAAATAATGATAAATTCACCCTGGAGAACTCATCTTCTGCTGGGCATCCTAAGTCCCTCTGTGAGTCCTGCCCACTCCTCCTGGATAGACTGTTGGCTTCCCCAGGGCAAGGGCATGGGCACAGGTGTGACCCAGTGCCTTCCTTAAACACCTGCTTTATGAAAACTTCCACAATGAAAGCTGAAGAAATTGACCCCCACCCCCAAAACCCTCCTGCTATTTCTAGTTGGGTTTTATGGGCCACCTGGTCGCAACTCACTCTTGATCATGTTCACGTCGTTGGCTCCATCTCCAATGGCCAGTGTGATGGCCTTCTTGTACCTTTTCACCAGGTCCACCACCATGGCCTTCTGCTTGGGAGTGACGCGGCAGCAGATGACAGCGCTGCACTCGCAGGCCAGGTCCACAAAGTTCCTCTGCCGCTGCTCTTTCTTAGCTTCGAGCCTTCTCTTGCTTTGGGTTCGAATCCGTCTCTCTTCTTTTGTCCTTGGGAACTTCAGCTTCAGAATCTTATTTGTTTTGGTCTTTTTCTCTAGAAGAATCTCATTCTGTGAAATCATGGAGAGGACTGAGGTCACTTTAGTTTTTACACCAAAGGTATCATCATTTCCAAGACTTAAGATGCGTGAAGGAGAGTTTGTGGATTGTATCATTGGTTATACTGTTCTGATGACAGAACATTTTTGACATAATCTAGAGAATACAAAATCTACAAATAACAAAATGAAAATTACTCATGAATTAATAAACCAAGACAACCACTGTTACCCGTTTGGTATAATTGCTTTCATATGTCCTGTAATATTAAGCTTCAAACTTGGGAAATCACACCTGAATTTATAGGCTAAGAGATTTTTAAGTTGGCAATTAACAAATATTTAACACCATCTAAAATTGGTCCAAAGTGAACTTTTTTCATTTGAGCCAAAGACCCAGACACACTAATGGTACCTACCAGCCAAGAACCAGTGATGACCAAAGCTCGGTTTTCACCAGGTGGGAAAAAAGGTTCGTACACAACAGGTGCAAATTTTGCATAAACTCCACCTCTGTTTCTCTGGTTTTCCACCCTTGTATGAAGAAGAGAACTGGAGAAAAATAAATTGAAGTACTTAAAGTACAAAACCATACACAGGCCCTACACTATTAGATAATTTTGACATTTTTTTTAAAGAGAGAGTGAGTGAGAGAGAGAGAGAGAGAGAGAGAGAAATTTTTTTGATATTTATTTTCTAGTTCTTGGCAGACACAACATCTTTGTATGTGGTGCTGAGGATGGAACCCAGGCAGCACGCATGCCAGGCAAGCACGCTACCGCTTGAGCCACATCCCCAGTCCCAATTTTGACATATTTAAAAAAAAATTCTGATAAAGACAATTTAAGACTTATCATTTTATCTATTTTTAAGTGAAATCATATTGTATTTATCATTTAGTGACTGTCTTATTACATTTAATAACGTCTTCAAGATTCATCTATATTATAATGTATGTCATAATTTTTTTTCCTTTTTAAGGACAAATAATATTCCATTTTTTATTCAAGGATTCTTAACACTGGTAGACACCTGGGTTGCTTGACTCCTGTGAATAGTGCTGTAATAAATATGTGTATGCATATATCTCTTCAAGACCCTGCTTTAAATTTTTTAAAATGTTTTTTTAGTTTGAGTATAATACTCAGAAGTGAGGGGCTGGGGTTGTGGCTCAAGCAGTAGCGCGCTCGACTGGCATGCATGCGGCCCGGGTTCGATCCTCAGCACCACGTACAAACAAAGATGTTGTGCCCGCCGATAACTAAAAAATAAATATTAAAATTCTCTCTCTCTCTACCTCTCTCTCTTAAAAAAACTGCTTTCAAATAAAGGCTTATAAAAAATATACTCAGAAGTGAGATTGCTAGATCACATGGTAACTCTATTTCTAATTTTTTTAAGGAATCCCTAAACCAGTTTTCATAGTGACCATGTCATTTTACATTCCCACCAGCAGTAGATAAATGTTCCAGTTTCTGCACAGCCTCACCAACACTTGCTATTTTCTTTTTCTTTTTTGATTGTCCCCATCCTAATAAAAATGAGACAATATCACTAGTTTTAATTTGAACATTGTTTCACAAGCTTTTCAGCCATTAGCATATCTTCCTTGGAGGAATGTCTTCTAAAAATTCTTTGATCTATTCTTAATTGGGTGACATATAGTCTTATACTATGTGGCACCAAGTTCTTGGTACTTCATAATTTGCCAAAAGCAACCAAAGGAAGAAACAGGTCACACTGTGTTCATAAGCAACAAAGGGAAGGCAATTTCCATCTAAATTAATACCCTGGCTGCTGTTTGGCAGAGAAAAACTAATTTCCCCATACAATTATGTCTGCTTTTAAAAATTCTTGATACTTTATATCAACAAATCATTGATAAGATGACATGTAACACTTCTATGTGATAGAAAAATGAGTCATGGGATTTTGGAGGGAAGGGGCCTTCTTGCACAATCTTTTCATGTTGCAAATAAAGAAATCAAGCCAAGAGAGGTGATGTGACTTGTTTGCAGCAAGTTGATGGGAGACTTTCTCCGTTCCTCATGCACACCTCAAAAGCAGGTTTCTCAGATTTGACACTGTTGATGTCTTTAGACAGATAATTCTCTGTTGTATGTGGATGCTTATTTTAGGAAGGACACACGTAGGATGTTTTATAGCATCTCTGGCCTCAACCCACTAGAAGCCAGTAGCACTTCTCCTCCCCTGTTGGGACCACGAAAGATGTTTGCAGACATTTCCAAGCAATCCCTGGAAAGCAAAATAACCCCTTCTCCCTGATTAAGAACCATCCCACTAGAAGATTAGGTATGTATTATCCCTCTTCCACATTCATTTAATTCTCATTTTCAGTTGGAAAATCAGTTAAAAATCAAGACAAATGATAAAAAAAACTGAAAGTGAAGAAAATATGAATTTATTTAAGCTATTTTATAGGAATCATCATTTCAGGCCCCATCTAGAAAGATAATTCATCTCTCTATAAAGGGAAACTTGGCTACAAGCATGATCATAACATTTATTATTTGCATAAATTTTATCTTTTAATTTAGCTTAGGGTCCACTTTTAAAAGAGAGACCAGAAATTTGTTAAAACCCCCATCTACAAAAAATAAACAAAACCATATGGTAATTATCCATATTGTTTGCAATCGAAAACTACTTAAGTAAACATACGAAGCATTTATTTGTCCGTTGCTACCTTCTAAAACCTAAAAGCTCAAAGAGGCATGGTTTATGTGCCTCTATTCAAACAGGGCTGATTTAGATTATAAGACTACCAATTTTATCTAATCTAGCAGAGTGCCTCTCATACTGGAATTGACTCACAAAAGCTTTATTATCATCATTAGAAAGGAGACTAGTAAGGACCAGCAGCCCAGCAAGGGTATACATTAACAGCTTAATCTGACCTTGTGCCAGCCTGAGACAGGCACTAAAGGATAAAGCTTGAGGAATAAGTGGAACTGTAAAGCCATCATGGTAACTGTGTACTTTATATTTATAGCTCTGTAACAAGACAGGGACTTTTGCATCATATGTTTCCAGGTCTTCTGCAACTCTGATTCAGAGATGACCAATGTTCTAGCATAAGCTAAGGTTTGAAATACCAGGATTGCCTCCTCTAGCTAGACTATAGATGACAATGTAAGCCTTCCAAACTTTCCTTCTGGGACAAGGTGGTGTTTTTCTTTTTCTTTTTTTTTTTCCTCCCATTTCACTTTCAAAAAATAAAATCCCTCCAATGGACAAAACATAAGTCATATTAATTTGCTAATGATACCATAGGCTCAGTTCTCTTTTTCAGCAGACAAAAAGGCACCAAGGGCTCTAAGGAATGGAGGAAGTGGCCTCGAAAGGTTTCCTTAAAACTAAAATGGAATCAAAATAAGACTGCACCATGATAGCTGAGAACTGCCCGATGTTCTCTTGTTTCATTTAAGTAGGAGGAGACTCTCTTAGGTAACATACCCCCGCCCCTATTTCTCCATCTGTGCTGCCTCTGCCACTAGTGTTGCCTTTGTGAAATGAGCAGCTGCATGATCTCATGCCACAGGCCCTTTACTTACTTTATATCTTCCCCATAGCAGATAGTGGTGTCTTCTGTCAGAAGTTCACAAGCAAATCCTATGTTTTCTGCAGTTTCTACAACAGATAAAATCAAGTCCAATGTCATTCCTATTGTTGAGTTGAATAATTTCTATCTACTGCAGGTTGAGCATCTACTATTTGAAATGCTCAGGAACAGAAGTATTTTAGATTTTTGAATTTTTTGTTCTTTTTTTTTTTTTTGATTTTTTTTTTTTTAATATTTATTTTTAGTTCTCGGCGGACACAACATCTTTGTTGGTATGTGGTGGTGAGGATCGAACCCGGGCCGCATGCATGCTAGGTGAGCGCGCTACCGCTTGAGCCACATTCCCAGCCCTTCTTTTTTTATTTTGGAACACACACACGCGCACACGGAGATGCTGTGATGATGAGACACAAATCTAATTATGAAATTTATTTATGTTTTACATATTCCTTATACCCAAAGGCTGAATAAGCTGAAGGCAATTTTGTTTTGTTTTGTTTTTGTTTTGCAGTACTGGGGATCAAACCCAGAGCCACTTACATACTAGGCAAGTGCTCTATGACTAGCCACATCCCCAGCCCCTGAAGGTAATTTTATAGTTATTTTTAGCACAGGTGCATTTTGACTGTGACTGTTCACATGAGATCCTAAGTGTGGAATTTTCCACTTGTGGTATCATGTCAGCACCCCCAAATGTTTCAGATTTTGAGCATTCTGGATCTCAGATTAGGGATACTCAACCTACAATGATAATTTCCTTCAATTCATGAACATGATCAGATTCAATAAAATACACTATTTTTCTATAGCAGTGCGTAGAACTCTTATAAATAAGTCAATTCCTTTCCCAATAATAAGTGAAAGTCAAAATCTGGTTTGAGATGTTTTTAATAATAAATTGCTATATTATCAACGATTTAAATTGATTATTTAATAAATGAATGTTCACTAAAATACTGACATGCTCTGAACATGTTGTTATAAGGGGAAGGATAATGTTTCCATCAGTCCTCACATGGGGTGCCTATTAATGACACACGTTCCCCTTTTTTTTTCCATAACCACCCATTTGGTAGTTATTAAATTCCAGGGCTGTGCTTTCAGATTGTGTAGCCCATTGTTGATGGCAGAGAAACAGACATTATTCAGTTTCCTGTGAGAGGCTTGCAGAACAAAGTATGGATATCAAACAGCAACTTGTTGAGCTCTAAATTTAAGAATTAAAAACTTTGCTCAGGTATAAAATTTTAACTGTAATTTCCAAACCATAAAAAGAGCAAGATAACAAGAGTTGATGTCATTCAGCACTTTGTGTTAATCTCTATGCCCCCAAATGGCAAAGCACTAGGAAGACAGAAGGGATCACCTTTCAGGATAGGAGTGCACATCTGGCCGAAGAGATAAAGACAACCAGCAGGATGCAATTGGGAGCTAAATCATAAGGAATAGATTCTGCTATAGAGGGAGTTCAGAGAAGGACATAATCAGGGAGGGATGGGATAAGAGGAGGGTTTTAAGAGAAAATCTCTCCCTTCCAAAGAAATAGCTGGTGGCCCTGCAGGATGGAAAGTCTGAGAAAGTCATCAGGGGCAAAGGAAACAGTAGTTCTAAATATTTGTGAATTAATAGATACACTTCCCCACATAAATGAGTTACCCTTTTTGTCTCCAGTGAGCACCCAGATTTTAATGTCAGCTTTTGCAAGTTTTGATATGGTTTCTGGGACCCCATCCTGCAGTTTATCTTCAATAGCTGTAGCTCCCAATAGCTGGAATGTACATTTGAAAAGAAGGAATTAGCAAATAAACCCAAAACTGTCTGTAGTTATAGTTTGCCAGCCTCTAAAGAGAAGGGCTAGTTATGTACCCCAATTGGTGTTCTACCACAGCCAGTGGCCAGCATGGCAGGGAAGGCTACCACCATGCTTCACACTTACTGCAAAGCAAAACAAACAAATATTTTTTTTCTTGGAGAATGAACTAATTAATTAGCTGAGACAAAAAAATGCAAGTACAAAATCAGACATTAAAACCACACTATAATTGCGTACTTGCTGCTTTATAGATATGAGCCCATCCCTCTGGCCAAAGGGAAATACTGGCTATTGAACATTTTTCCATTAATCTAAACTCTACAGGCAATAAGAACTAAATTTTCAAAAATTTCATTTAGAAATGGTGGGGTTTTTTTTTGTTTCAATATTTTTTCAAAACATAAATTGTTTCAGTAATTTTCACAAATAAATAAGTGCTGGTTTGATATCCTATAAAATCATAATGCATTTTAATAAGTGATATAAAAATCATGGAATTAGATTAACTCAGAACATTTCTCTATAGGTTTTTCTCTTTTGGTTTCTAAAATGACAATGTCTATTCTGTTATCAGAACAGAAGAAATTCAAATGACCTACTTTCTTTGTTCCAATTTCATTTGCTGGAGTTAGAATAATCTTTCAAGCATGAGATCAAAATGTAATAAAACTTAATAAAAATTTTGCTTCTGTTTAGAATATCAAGTAAAACATTATTAAGGTTAAAACTCACAATTAAGTCTCTTTCAATCTCCTCGTATACTTTATCCAAAGCTTCATCTCGGTTGGTTGAGGCCACGCTGGCTGCCATAAACTTTTTATTCCATTCTGCAAATTCTTTTTCTTCAATTTCTTTGTAGCAAAGGCACAGGGTTCTAAGAGTTTCATTCGCAAAGATCTGTTTTATTTAAAAGACAATCCACCGATGTAAGAATATTTAATTTTATGTAGCTCAAGGTCAAGTTTGAAATCTTACTTTGAAGTAATGTACTACGAGAATTTTAAAAGAGACTATGAAATGTGAAGGATTCTACAGAGGAATTAAACTTTGTGTTATAATAGACTTTGTTTTTTGTAAGCATCACCAGGGTTCCAGGACTATATTTCTACTTCCCAAATTGGTTAAAGTGAAAAGTCTACCTTTCTTCTAAATTAAGTCACTAGAGTTAAAAAAAAAAAAAAGCTTTTTTTTTTAATGACTAAAAATAACAGACAAAAGATGTAATGATGTTGTAAATACAGTCCCAATAATTTTATAACTTGTTCCCACAAACTGTGTTATAAGTCCAATCAACTGTGAACTTGCAACCAAACACTAATCCTCAAACCAATTCTAAAACCCATGAGCCATTGTTAAATCTGAGATCAAACATTCTAATGAAAAAGAGTATTTGGAAATTTGAACAGATTTAAGCCACTTTTAAATAACTTTAATATGAACCTGTAAAAATCTTTTATTATTTTATTGTTACTTCTTATCCAGCCAAGGGTCAGAACTGGCCCAAGCGAGTATTCACTTTTCAGAGATTTTTTTTTTTGAAAGGTTCTATATTTGGTTGCTTAGATTGACACTGTCACACCCCCATGAGAATTCATCCATTTTAATTGCATTAGCATCAGCATCAGTACCTAATCTGAAAACTGTGACCCCACTTGGTAAACAACAGGTTTATTCAGCTTCTCTCTGAACACCTTTGGCAGACTCTGAGCCTCAACTGATGGTTAAAAGGAAGAAACCACCCTTTATTAAGTACCTCTTAAGTGCTGGGAATTGAGCGAGATGCTTTCTTTTACAATGACCTGCCATGGTTCTAATTATTTCCTTCCTTTTTCACATGGGGGATTAACGACGCATATGATATGATAAATATTCTTTTCCCCCACACAAAACTACTAAAGAGACTGAACTGGGACACGAGTTCTCGATGTACTCCAGACCTCACTGCCATCAGCATGCAGAACCAAAACCATTTGAGGATGGGTGGGCAGTTCCCAAAGCGCAAGTTCAAAAACATTCTAGTGGTGACAATACCAATGGACTGTGCACACACAGCTTCCTAAGATAAGGACTTTGACGTAATTAAGACCAAACTGTTTTGTGAACAAAGGCGTCAGACTCAATGATTCAGCAGGGGTGGTGTGTGTGTATGTGTGTGCACTCCCAGACTCTCAGCTTCCTGGGAGGCTGAGGCAGGAGGACAGCAAGTGTCAGGACAGCCTTAGTGAACAAGACCTTGACTCAAAATTTAAAAAATAAAAAGGACTGGGGATGTAATTCAGTGGTAGAGTGCTTCCTATCATGTGTGAGCCCTGGGTTTGATCCCCAGCACTGCAAAAACAACAAATACCATGATCCAGCGCACTGCTTTCTTAACCTCTGCCAAACAGGAATGCCTCCGTTCCTTCCCCTGTACCTAGAAGAGGGTGGAGCTCTAGGAAGCCACAGAGATGGTAAGGTTACAGCTTAGCATAGCTATAGCTGGCTCAGGATAACTGGAAGAGAGACTAGCCATTCCTGTGGGAGACCAACCTCGCACATGACTGAGTTAACTCCCCTGCTGGGCGATGTGGCGTCAGGCACCCAAGCTGCTAGACTGCCCCACTCTTCTAGGGTTCGAGTGACTGTGTCTTTGTGCCCCGGCTGTTTCTTTCTACAGCCCCATGGGTGAAGCTATACTCACCTGTTCCTTTGTAATATTACCCCTTGCCCTGTTTAGGATAGAATGTTCCATGGAAGTGCCTTGTGTGTGTCCCCTTCTCTTACTGTGCCCTTGGGTGTGGCCTACATAGATGTCAGTCAACCTGCTGACAGTGGACATCATGAACATAGACTCAGCCCCCTGAAACCTGACCCCTTGCCTCATTTGAATAGCTTCTCTTCAATAAAAGGGATCAGTGGGTGCTCTCTCTCTCTCTCTCTCTCTCTCTCTCTCTCTCTTCCTGCAGACCCTTAAGGTTAGAGGAGCTGTCACAGCAACCCCAAAGAAAAAGGTATTCGTGTCTCTCGTGTGGTTACTTTGCGCAGCCCAGTCAGCCCAGTTCAACTGGAGTGACCCCTGAGCCTTTTAGTCACGAAGAGAAACCCAGCACATTCCCCTGCATCTGTCCTACAGACCTGGATGCTGGGAAAGGGCTGGCTCCATAGTCATTTCCAAGAACATCACCATCAAGGGAAGAACTAGAACCCAGGTGGCCACTTTTCTACTTTGGTGATGTTTCCACCCCATAACACCAGAGCCAGGGGAGGGTCAAGAGTTAAGAAACTTAAGAGACAGCATCAGAAACAGAATCTTGCAAGAAGAATGAAAGTGAGACTTACATCCAGGGCATCCTGTGTCTCTTGCTTTGTAGGATTCATTGGATGTAACCGTTCATAAATGACAGTGTCAGCGCCTTTACAATATAGCCTGATGTTGCCTTCCGGGGCTTTTACTGGGAGTAAGGGAAGAAAAAACACACAACAAAGTTAAGTTTGATTTCTTCATAGAAAACTACATTGATAAAGTTACTTTGAAGTGTTACTATGCTCCTAATTCATCCATCTTAAAACAGTGAATGCATCTAGAAGTGCTACCATCAACAAAGTTGGTAAGCCTTTGTCTACATTGAATGTAATAGCAAAATGAATGTGAATGTTTCCATATCCTTACTTACTTTTTTTTTTCTTTTTTGATACTGGGGATTGAACTCAGGGGCACTCGACCACTGAGCCACATCTCCAGCCCTATTTTATATTTTATTTAGAGACAGGATCTCTAGGTTGGTAAAAAAAAAAAAAAAATGTGGCATATATACACAATGGAATATTATTCAGCAATAAAACAGAATAAAATCATGGCATTTGCAGGTAAATACATGGCGTTAGAGAAGATAATGCTAAGTGAAGTTAGCCAATCCCAGAAAACCAAATGCTGAATGTTTTCTCTGATATAAGGAGGCTGATTCATAGTGGAGTAGGGAGAGGAAGCATGGGAGGAATAGACAAACTCTAGATAGGGCAGAGGGGTGGGAGGGGAAAGGAGGGGGCATGGGGTTAGAAATAATGGTGAAATGTGATGGACATTATTATCCAAAGTACATGTATGAAGACATGAATGATGTGAATATACTTTGTATACAACCAGAGTTTTGAAAAATTGTGCTCTATATGTGTAATAAGAATTGTAATGCATTCCATTGTCATATACAAATAAAAATCAATTTAAAAAAAGAGACAGGGTCTCAATGAGTTGCTTAGCGCCTTGCTGTTGCTCAGGCTGGCTTTGAACTTGCAATCCTCCTGCCTCAACCTCTAGAGCCAGTGGGATTACAGGCATATGCCACCATGCCTGGTGGTATCCTTACTTACTCTTTTAACAAATATTTAGACACTGGTGTGGTGGCACATGACTGTAATTCCAGCTACTGGGGAGGCTCAGGCAGATGGATCACAAATTGGAGGCCATTCTGGGCAACTTAGTAACAGCATATCTCAAAAAATAAAAGGGGCTGGAATGTAACTCAGTGGTAGAGCACCCCTGGATTTAAAAAAAGGTAGAGAGTGCCTACTATGTACTGTCCTGAACTAACTGCTTTCTTCCACAGGATTTTCTATGTTCATACAAACCAGCAGGAACTTTTCTTACCTATCAACTCATATTACTTACTGCCTTCAATGCTCAGGCCATAACATGACTCATATGAGTGTTTTCTTATTTTTTAAAAATATGTATGATAATTCAATCAGCTTGAGTGTGATCAATAACTAGACTTAGGTTCTCCAAGGTAGATGCTAGGCACAATAATCAGTCCAGATCAGTGTCAGGCACTCAGAAAGCAAATAGTAAGATGGGAATTCAGTACACAGGTAAACCTATGGGTTTCTATGGGTTAAACATTCACAGAACAGTGGAGAAGGTTTGTGGACACCACCTTAATCAAATGATCCAAACAAACGTCACCATGAATGAGGCAAACCAACATCATGTGCCTTCCAAAGTGTCACTGCCACCATGCCCAACCTGATCTAATCCTGAGAGGATAACAGACCAACCAGCCTGAGGGACAGTCTACAAAATAACTGGGCAACATATAATAAATGTCAACATATGAAAGATCAAAATAAGGTTGAAGAACTGTTTCTGATTCATATTCATGATCACCAGATACCATGTGCCACGCTGGATTGAACCCTGGACCAGAAAAAGATCAAGGTGGAAAGAGGGAGGGATGGAGAGAACCAGAAAAGCCATAAATACATAAACTTCCTAGTAAAATTTCCAGAAGTCTGTGGATTAGATGATAATGCTGTATCAGGTTAAATTCTCAGATTTCCATCATTCATACACACGGAGACATACACAGAGAGACAGAGAGAGGCATGGTGGAGGAGGGAGACTCTTGTTCTTAAAAAATACTTATTAACCTATTTGGAGGAAAGAGGCATTGGGTCTGTAACCTATTCTCAAATGATTCAAAGGATACTAATATATAAACAAGTGGTGAATATTAAACAGTACCCAACAGTCCTTTAAACCATCCTTGAATTTTTTTTCTGTAAATTTGAAATCCTTTCAAATTATTAACTGGAAAAAAAAATTAGGAAGCAATCCTCAGCTCCACTTGGTGGCCTGGAGGTGCGATTTTGATCCATAAGCACAGCCTCGCTCCCAAGAGAGGTGTGTAAGCTGCCCACAGCCAGCAGCTGAGTGGGCAGCATCTCCAGGCCCCTGCGGTGGAGAAGAGCCCCAGCCTCTGCCAGGTGCAGACACACCGTAGCCGCCTCTTGGCACAGGGACGTGGTGAAGTGTAGAGAAACAACACCCTTTTCAGAAAGTCTGTAGGAATCTCCCAGGAGCCAAAATGGTCCATCCATGACCTGCCTTATCCTGGCGTCACCAAGTAAAACGGGCAAAGACGACCCTGCGTCCAGCCACTCGCGGTGGACCTACCAATGATCGACATTCGCTTGCGGTCGCTGTTGAAGTCTAAAATGGCAAGAACACTGTAGGTCCTCTCGGTGCCCAGCTCGCTGATGGTGATGGTGTTCTGCGTCCTGGCGAGGAAGGCAAAGCCGAAGTTCCTGGCGGCATTGACCAGGGCGCCCTCGTCGGGAGAAGCCGCCTGGTAGTTGATCTGACCTAACAAGGGAAGGAGAGAAAACCAGAAAAGCTGTAAAACTAAATGCAGGGCTTATGGGTGGGGTGGGGGGTTACTGAGGTGCCTCTGCACAGCTGAACACATTCCCAAGACCCCAGCCCTGGGCTCCCAAGGATCACACCCAAATTACAACTTGTTAAATTGGGAACTATGGTTTTGAATTGTAAGTGGTAATAGAAACCAGAAATAAAACAACTAGCCAAGAAGAGGGGGACATTCCCATAATTCTGCCACCTAGGAGAAAATGCTATGGACATTTTATCATGACATTCAGTCTTTGAAAAACGCCTATTCCTGGAATAGTTTCTATCATGCTGGGTAGACATTCACAACCTGGCTATTTTAATGTTATATTTGAGCAAGTTGTCATATCTTTAAAGAATCTTCATAAGCAATCTTTTAAATATGTGGACAGGTGGCCATTTTTCCCTTATTGGCACTTAGTTTATTTCCAAAAATTTTGGCTCTCAGAAATAACATGGTCAACAGGGCACAGTGGCACATGCCTGGTTCCAGAGGCTGAGGCAGGAGGATCACAAATTGAAAGCCAGTCTCAGCAACTCAGTGAGATTCTATCTCTAAATAAACTATAAAAAAAGGGCTGGGGTGTGGCCCAGTGGTTAAGTGCCCCTGGGTTCAATCCCCCAGTACCAAAAAATAAAAATAAAAAATAACATTGGAATAACCATTGTGCATGTGTGTGCAAATATTTTCTGTCTCTGTTTTTTTAAGGACTGGTTCATAGTAGTGAAACCATTGAGTTAAAGAACATTGATTTTTTTTTCTTCCTTTGGTGGACTGGGGATGAAATCCAGGCCTCATGCCTTCTAGGCAAGTGCTCTGCCTCTGAGCTACACCCCCAGCCCTACATTTATTATTTGAAAACCCATATTACTAATTTATGTTTCAAGAAGGTCATGCCCATTGATCCCACTTTAGGAGAGTGTATTTATTTCACCACAGCTATAGTCTCATAAAAAAAAAAAAAAACTTTGTCCCTCTGATCAGTTTCTTTATTTTTAAAAATTAAATAGTGGGAAACTGCCTTCTATTCACAGGGACAAGGATACATCTCACAATCCTGGGTAAAAGAAGCCAGACACTAAAGAGCACAGATTCTGCTCACGTAATTTGAAAAACTTACAATGCTAACTCCTGATATTCAAAGTTAGGAGATCATTTTCCTGGAGGGATAATAACTTTAAGGAATACGAAAGGGACTTCTGGGTTGATAGTTTATATATTTTCTTTGTTCTAATTAGCTATACCATTTTTAAAAATAAGTCTGGGTTCCCATAAAAGGCTATAAGCTGTGGATAGCCATGGGCATGACTATACACACATTATACTGCAGTTAAAAAGTTTTTAAAAAAATATTCTGCCTACCCAAGATTTTCTATTTTCTTTCCTAATTATTCTGCTTCAAAGCAACATAGCCAGAGGGATTTTTATGGAAAAGAGTATTTAGTTTTCCAACACAGGGTGACCAGATGCATACCATGGGCACATGGGCAGTTCTTCCCACCTCAGTCTGCTTGGCAGGGCAGGCTGCTCCAGGGAGAATGACTTAGAACTAAACTGATGCCCATTCTCCTTCCTTCTCAAGCTGCTGCAGATAATTTGTTCTAATTAAGGCATCATTAATCATTTTCCAATTAATAATTAAAGATGGCACTGTAGGCTATCTATTTGTTCATCTGGAAAGTCATACACCAGAAGTTATAAATGTACTTGCTAAATCCAGCCATTCTACAAACATGCACAAATGCCAGAGGCAAACTGTTTACCCAGAGCTAAGCAAGCAGCAGTGAGAACAAAGTGCCTCCCTTCATTGCACTGAGACACCTTACATAATATTAACAGCAAACTTGCTTCCCACAGAGGCAAGAAACAAAATAATAAAACATGGCAAACTTTCCTTGAGTGAGGCAACTCTATCTGGAGCCAACACCTTGATATCTTTATCATTAAATAAAAAAGAAAACCCTTCCATTAGGATCTGGTAATGGAATCACAGACGGAAAGACTAGGAAGACCCGTGCAAACTTCAACCTTATGTTTGCAGGAAGAAACCTGGCTAACAGATGCCTGAAGAGAACTCTTTACCGTACACTTAAGGCCACCAGAGAGACATTCTTCCCTTTTACAGACTAATTTGTGCATCGTGAAATTGATGTTTAAAAAAATGCTAAAATCAGAACTGCCACCTCTTATAAACTCATTATCCTAATCTCCTCGCTTCTTCTGGCTAAAAATAGGATCTCAGATCTTCCAGTCACCAGCCTTAAGACCTTCAGATGTCTCTTTCCCCACAATCCTCTCATCCCCTTCAAATCATTTACCAAATGTCTCCCATATTTGTGACTTTCTCATCCTGCCCAAGAACCCACCCTAATCCAGGCCCCCGGCCTCCCTATAGGCCTATTGTCTCTCTGCTCCAGAATATCACACCCAATGTGAGGCTGAGGCCTCCTAGAGCCAGCTCTCTGCTCACTGATTCAAGACCTCCAGGCAAAGAAGAGGCTTCCAAGCCTTTCCCTCTCTGCTTTCATAGGGCCTGTGGGTGCAGGAGTTTCCATCACCCAAGGTTCCCACCCCAATGGCAGACACACACCTTCTGCTGCTCTTCAGTCAAGCACTAGCCGAGGGGCTACTATGAAGGGATTTTGCAAATTTAATTTGGGTCCTTCCCTGTTGACCCTAAAATAGGAAGATTATCCAAAGGTTCTGAACCTAATTAGGTGAGCCCTTAAAGGGCCAAGGGCTTTGCCTTGTGACAGAGATTTGAATCCTGAGAGGGTTTCAATGTAAGGCAGAGTCTCTACCACTGGTTTTGAGGATAGGGGACCAATCGACAAGGATTTGAGGGCAACCTCCAGGAGTAGAGAGCAAGCCCATCTGATAGTCTGCAGAGAAATGGGGACCTCAGTCCTGCAACCACAGAGAACTGAATCTTGCCCCAACTACATAAGCTTGGAAGAAGACACAGAGCTCCAGATGAGAACATGGCTCCACCTTGATTTTAGTGAGATGCTGAGCAGAGAACTTGGTCATAGCCAAGCTCAGACTTCTGACCTATAGAATTGGGAGCTTATAAGCAGGTACTTCAAGCTGCCCGGTTGCCCTAATTGATTCCAGAGTAACAGAAAACTAGGGCAAGGGTCTCCATACATGGCCTCTTAATATTTTTAACACACAGGCCACACAGACTGCTAAAGTCAGAAGTTTGTGGCCACATATATGAAAGGATTTCCTCCTTCCTTTGATGATATTATACGTAATAAAAAATAACTTAATCTCCATCATTCTTCTCTAACCTCCTGCACCTAGAAATTTAACTTGTCTTCATTCCCAGTGGCTGGATCAAAGTGCACGTCATTTACTGACTGAAGGACTCCTCAGGACATACGGGCCTTCACCTTGGCTATCAGTGTGACAAAGAGCAGCAGAATGTTATGTTGGAAGAGACTTTGGACATCAGCCTCCTTACTGCAACACTGAAGAAGCAGGTGTGCAGGAAGGACCCAAAACTGGGCGGGCTCACCTGGAACACACAGTCCAGGGCTCTGCCAGTAACATCCAAGTGGGAACAAATAGAAACTGTAAGATTAATGGGTATTGGCCTAAAATGTCCAGTTAGCACTCAAAGAAAAGAAGAAGAGTTTTACTAATGAGTCAGAACCTAAGGGAAGCAGGATGCTTAAAATTATATTTCATTCTTATTGTGCAAGTAAAATTTGCTTGGCTATTTAAACAGACTTTGACCTCTGTTTTGGCAATTCATGACCTGACATCAGCTCTTTCTACCTGTCCCCATTCGCTGCTAACAGGATCCATCCCACTTTGAACTCTCACATCTCACTTTATTATACTATTAAATTCATCTTGGAGAAGGGCCTTTTTGAAACGTGCTGAAAGATATCCTATACGGCTTCTACATATTTAAGTTTTTAGGCCTGTTCCTTTCCTGGAGATTTTATATCAGTTACATATGAAACAAAGATAGGAATTTCACCAAGAGGGACTTTTATGTACTCAGTGATTAAAGTAAAACGTAGAGAATGGCGTAAAGTGAATGAATGAAGAGAAGGCAGACTGTGCACCACCATAGATATATCAAAAGAATTCCTTTTGCTCTCTCTACAATGTCCATTTGTATCTAAATAATTTGTTATGTCCATATATGACAAAACAATTTGTTTTCATGGTACTGGATGAATATGCTGTTAGCACAGTTGGCACACACTGGATTTTAAAATGAACTTCAGCCTTGCTTGTTCCCATGCAAATGCACTTTTAAATGAGAAAGAGACCTTAAAGAGATCCAGGCTTTGGCTGATACGTTCAAGCCCAAAACATATCGGAATCCAGGAAGTAAAAACAGATCTCTGAAATCATTTTGTAGAAAAGTCTGTTCAAGTTTAAAGTCTACTTGCAATGCAGATAAGGCCTGATTTTTACATTGGCAACACACATTAGTAGTTCGGTAGAAAGAGTTTGATTCTATCCTAATTCAAGAGCCAATCTTTACTTTTAATGATAAAGTTTCATTTTCAAAGTGATAAACACATCCAGAGTTATAATTGTGAATCAGATGTAAACTTCAGAGAAATCTTCGTTGTTCCATACACCATCTAGCGCTAGGTGCTCATATCCACCGTTTGAGTTTACCATGCAGACCATTAAACATGCACGGGAAGCAGAGCATGAGTTGTCTGCAAACCAAAAAACTAGCTTCCAAAGTCTGAGATGCCAGAGAAACACTCACCATCAATTCTTTCCACCATGACCGTGTGACAAACAGCAAGCAAGAAGAAGAACTGCCGGACCTCTGGTTCTTTCCCTGACTGGATTTGCTCGATAAGATAATGGTCATAAAATGCAAGTTTCCCATCAGCAAATGCATTCCAGCTAAAATCAACTTGCTGAAAGAAATTCAGAAGAAAACAAAAAGGCGATTAAAAAAAAAGTCTGGATTAAAAATTGATACCAACTTTTCTTTGAAGTCAAGTTTTTAATTATGTAAAAATAACATTTTGGATTTTAGCCCATTCCCAGCTTTATTTATTTAGTAATACTAGGAGATTGAACCAAGGAGTGCTGTACCACTGACCTACATCCCCAGCCTGTTTTAAATTTTTTTGAAATTTTGAGATGAGGGCTTATTAATTTGCCCAGGTTGGCCTTGAACTTGCAATTCTCCTGCCTTAGCCTCCCAAGTAGCTGGGAATCCTGATGTAGACCTTCTTTATTTTTTATTTTGAGTCAGGGTCTCAATAAGTTGCTGAGGCTGGTTTTAAAACTTGCAATCCTCCTGCCTCAGTCCTCAAGTGTATAGGATTAAGGGCATGTGCTGCCATAATCATGTTTGGTGGATTTTAGTACATTCTTGACTTATGTGATAAGAGGTTTACACCTGTCTTAAAACAAAAAGCATCCTATGGTGGATTGAATTTTGTCCCCTTAATAGATATGTAGACGTTCCAACTGCTGGTACTTATGAATGTGACCTTATTTGGAAATAGGGTCCCTGCAAATGTAACCAAGCTGAGGCCAAGTGAGATTAGAATGGAAGGACAGGTGTCCTATGAGAGAGAGCACCATGTGCCAATGGAGGCAGAGATTGGAGGCCTGGGTTTCAAGCCAGGGAACACCAAGAACTGCTGGCAATTACCAGAAGCTAGGAGGAGGGAAAGAAGAATTCTCCCTAGAACTTTCCAAGGAAGTTTGACTCTGCCAACACCTTTATTTGGGCATATGGCCTTCAGAACCATTAGAGAATGGATTTCTGTTATCTTAAGCTTCCCAATTTGGGGTAATTTGTTAAGGCAGCTCTAGAAAACTAATATGCATCCCAGCAGTTCCTCATGCTAAAGGACTCACCTCTATTTTGCCACGAGTGTGTTGAGAGGCATCTCGATGGTCTCCTGAGAAGCAAACAGGACAAAACAAATTAAGCCTCTTTTACTTGTGTCCAGAGGGCCCCCCAATACACACACACATACACACGTCAGAGCCTACACATAGATGGTTCTGAAGTTAACATAGTTTTCACATTTTTCAAGAGTTGGATAAAAATTGAAAATAAAGAATAGAGACCGTATAGGGCCTACAAAGGTTAAAATGTATGCTATGTGACTTTTCGCAAAAATAATTTGCCACCCTCACTAGAGTTTCAAATACTAGTGCCGGATCCTCTCTGTTCTTTTGAGATTTGAGCCTTGTCTTTTGCAATGCTATACCTGACCCTCCTTGTCCTTTGAAATGCTATACCTGCCACCAGGTTCCTAGTCTTCTTCAATCAAATGAAACCACATTCACAATATAAAGTTTTCCATAAGTGGAAAGAATACTCATGTGCTGTGTTTAAAACAAAATACATTGTCTTAAATTATTTAAAAGCACTCTATTTAAATATAGGATTAGCCTTAATGTTGCTTTTAAATGTAAGACATATTTCAGAAAATTAGAAATCAATTTTACTAAAGTTGTGCTGAAAGACACATAAAACTTACCGTTATAACCCTTTTTAAGTGCACAGTTCAGTGGCATTAAGTATATTTACACTGTCGTGCAACCAACACTACCACGTCCATCCAGAAGAGTGCTTACATTGCATAATTTAAACTGTACTCATTAAACAATAATTTATTATTACCCTGCCCCCATTCCCTAATGACCTAGTAAATATTCTACATTGTTCCTACGAATTTGATTACTCTAAGTACCTCATATAAGTGGACTCATATGCCTTTTTGGTTTTGGCTTATTTCATTTAGTATGATGACCTTAGGGTTTATTCACGTTGTGGCATGTATCAGAATTTCCTTCCTTTTAAGGAAACACATAATGTTCCACTATATATATGTGTGTGTGTGTGTGTAAACACACACATATTATAGATAAACACACACACATTCTGTTTAGCCATTCATCCATCAATGGACACTGGAGTTGCTTCCACAGTTTGGCTATTGTAAATAATGCTGCTATGAATGTGGGTGCACGAATATCTCTTTGAATCTCTGATTTCAATTTCTTACAATATATACCCAGCAGTGGAATTGCTGGCTATTTCAATGTTTAGTTTTTTGAGGGGCATGTACCTTTGTGTGTGTGTGTGTGTGTTACTGGGGATTGAACCCAGAGGCCCTCTGCTACTGAGCTACATCCCCAGACTTCTCATTTTGAGACAGAATCTCACTAAGTTGCCCAGACTGGCCTGGACCTTGTGATCCTCCTGCCCTGGCCTCCAGAGTTGTGGGATTACAGGCTTGTGCCACTGTGCCTGGCAACGTGTGCCTGTTTCCATCTGCTGACCTCTCCCAGGCGTGTGTTCCCAGCAGTGTCCATTATGCCCCTTTAGCCCTCAGCTGGGGGCCTGTGCCAGCAGCATAGGGAGGGCACAAGGGACTCTAGGGTGGCAGGTTCAGCTCTAGGCAGCACCCAGGAAATGAATCTTCTACCACAATTCAACAGCCAACCATTCCTTCTATTTCAGACCCCAAACACCCCCGTGTCTTGTAGATAGAAGCACGTCTCTGAAATCATCTTGTAGACAAGATCATCTAAGCTCGCAGTCCGCTTAGGAAATGGCTAAGGTCTGGCTTTCCCCCTCCTTCCCACTCGCACTCACCATAGATTTGCCCGTTGATGCAGCACTTTTTAAAGGTCATGATGTTCTGCGTGAGTGTCCCTGTCTTATCAGAGAAGATGTACTGGATCTGGCCGAGCTGCTCATTCAGCGTGGTGGTTCTCGCCTTTGCAGGCGTGTCCTTTTCAGAATAGTACATCTGCAGGTCCCAGTTAATAAAGTGACTCTGTCCCAGACGAATCACTTCCACACTAGGAAGACAAAAGATCGCTCTGTGTGGAGTTCTGAGCTGTGAGTGGCAGCGGTGGATTTTAGCCTCACTTGTGCACACAGGCCTGCCATCGACTGCGACGGGATGAATATTGGTGGCCCCCAGAACCCATATGTCAAAACAATCCCCAACGCAATATTGAGGCAGAGCCTCTCATAAGTGATTAGGTTCTAAAAGCAAAGCCCTCCTGAATGGGATCAGTGATCTCATAAAAGAGCTTGCTTGCCTCTTCTGCCCTTTAAGGATGCGGCAAGAAGGTGCTATCTAAGACGCAGAGTGGCCCTCACCAGACACCAAAAGTGCCCGCCCTGGATCTTAGACTCCCCAGCCCCCGGAAGTGTGGGCAATATGTTTCTGTTGTCTACAAGCTACTCAGGTAAAGGCATTCTTTTGCAGCAGCCTAAACAAACTAAGACATCTTCAAAGAGACAAGCCATCGCCAGTGGTGGTGGCACACAGCTGTAATCCCAGCGGCTTGGGAGGCTCAGGCAAGAGGATTGCAAGTTCAAAGCCAGCCTCAGCAATGGTGAGGCGCTAAGCAATTCAGTGAGACCCTATTTCTAAATAATATACAAAATAGGGCTGGAATGTGGCTCAGTGGTCAACTGCCCCTGACTTCAATCCCTGGTACCCAATAAAGAAAAAGAAAAAAAAAAAGAGAGAGAGAGAGACAAGTCATGCGTGGCCGTGTGCTCAGCCTCTGAGCTCTCCTGACCAGTTGTTTTGTCCTTCAGGTCAGGGTCAAGCTGACTTTAGATGAGTAGTGTTTCCTCAAAGCATCCTGCTCACTATGACTTCCCACTCACTCCTGCACATCAGGCCACGGCCATGGAGTGCCATGTCCAAAATCCACAGCTCAGGTGACCTGGACCCCTGTGATGGTGCCCAGGTGCAGTTATCTTACTGTGTTTCCCCATCATTCCCAGGGACACCTGGGATGGCAGTATTCATTTCTGTCTCCAGTTGTAGGACAAAGAGGACATGGGCCCACTAGGTGACAGACTGCTGAGTACTCTCATACAGGGCAACAGTCTTTTGGCAAATAATTCCTAAATTGTGATCCCTCACTGTGAAGGTGACACTTTTTTCTGAATTTTATTAGGATATAGAATGTTCAAAAGAAGATATTCAAAAAGAATCATCTCAATTTTGAAACTAGAGGGGCCCTAGGGCCTAGCTCAGTGGTAGTGCACTTGCATGAATGAGGCTCTGGGTTTGATCCCCAGCACCGTACAAAAACACAAGCGAAACCAAAACACCATAGGAATTCAACACATCTCAGTTAGAAGGAAGCCATCTATATATTCAGCAGTAGTTAAGCGAGCAAAGGATCTTTGTATAACAAGTTAAATGATGGAAAGATAACTCTCTTCCTCCCTGTCCCCCTTCCATAAATATGTCCTACTAGGTACCAAAAACCATTCTAGATACAGGGGATATATCCACAAACAAAGCAGAAGGAAACCCAGTCTGTCAGCGCGTTATCACCTGCGAAGGCACACAAATGAGAGACCCAGTAAACACGTACTTATTGGGTGCTGAGGGTTCTCTGCACAAAAGCAAAGCAGGGGAAGGGGAGATAGAGAGCAACAGGGAAGAGATGGCTTGGTCATAATAGGGAGCACTAGGAAAGGCCGGTGGGGGGGGGCGGGGGGGGATGAGGCCTGAAGAAAATGAAAAAGCAGCATTAGGCTATCTAGGGAAGAATGTTCCAGGCAGAGATAAGAGAAGGTACAAAGGTCCTGTGGCAGGAAGGGCATCAAGGGTCTGGAGTGGCAGGAGCCAGGGTTAAGGGGCAGGACCAAGGGGTAGGGCTGGAGCACAGAACACCAGATCCCACTGGGCCCTGGGTGTGATCCTGTGGCCTTGATGATTCTATACTAAACAACACCCAAGCTGCCAGGGACTAGAAGAAAAAAGAGATAATCATCTTGATTTGATTTACGCTTTAAAAGGACCTTGATTTCCAAGAGAAATAAAGAAGTTACATCAGCCAAATTGCATATGGTATTATTTTATAGCTTTGTACAAAATAATCCATGTAACAGAGGGCTGTCTTATCAAGGGAGCACTGTCTTAGACTCTTTTAGAGTAGCTGGGACAAAAGCCTGCCCCAGGGCATGATTTCCCATTAAAAGAGCAACAGAAAGAACATGTAATAAAATTAGAAACAAAACAAATGCACATATAATAAAATTAGAATAAAATAAATGCATCTAATTATAGGGGTGTGTGTGAGTCCACTTCCTCCAGGCTATTACTGATTGAAACCAAGAACTGACTCCACTGTCAATATATTCCAAGGCGTAGCCCCTCTAAAGTCCAACTGGCCAGTGACAATGAATTTGATAGGAAAGAAGAGCAAAACAGGAAGACACAGCACCGTACACGGAGACAGCCACTTGTCAGGGGCACAACCTTGACTTTCTATAGGGATTGGAACTGACCTTAAGATAAGAAATGGAACCTTGGGAGAGGGTGGAGTAAGGTGGACACCTTTTCCACCAGGAGGTCTCAGCAGGAAGGTCAGTGGCTTCCATAAGTAAGCATGGGTGTGGCAGATGTCAAGAAGAGGGCTGGGGGTCAGGGTGGAGGGGGAGTTGTGGCTCAGTGGTCGAGCACTTGCCTAGCATGTGAGAGGCACTGGGTTTGATTCTCAGCACTGCATATAAATAGATGAATAAAATAAAGGTCCATCAACATCTAAAAACAAAAAAAGAAGAAGAAGTCTCCTATACGAGGGAAGCAAGACTTGCGAAATGGAAAAGCAAGTTTTTCCATGACATTCCAAGTCTCATTCCAACTTTCTCCTAGGCCCTTCTTGAAGCCTAGGCTTTGGAACTCATTGAGAAGGAATCTTACCAAGTAAGTGATTGTAGCCTTTGACCTCCACTGTCAGTGGCCTTATCTGTAAGGATAGAAGGTACCTGGCACAGAGTAGGCCCATTCATTTCCTTCCCACATCTTATCCTCAATTCTGAAATAGAAGTTATTTTTTTTACCTATTCCTTTTGACCTTTGAGACTATTATTGCTAGACACAAATGTGCCAAGTTGGGAAAAGATACTACAGTTTTCCCTAAAAGCAAGAGGCTAAGGACAGGATGGCCTCACCTGACATAGAGAGAGATGGGTACCATGGTGTTCAACACGATGATGTAGCCCCAGAAATTCAGGAATCCACGGTAGGAGGGGGTGATGTTTTCTCCATCGTAGAGGTACCAAGAATAATTGCCAACTTGTGCTTCCCAATAAGCATGGCCGATGGCAAGACCCGCAGAAAGCAGAATGAGAACAACAAAGATCTAGAAGACACAAAACACGTAAATGTATTCCAAAGAGAAGATGGATTTCCAACCTGATGCACTTCACAGATGTTAACTAACCGTGTTCCACACTGTGTTTAGGATAATTTGGTAGTTTGTAAAAATAATGTACTTAAAAGAGTACCATGAGAATGCTCTGAAAGTCTATTTGATTGTCATGATTGATAGGTTTATTCTACCTTACACATTTAAGGTGAGATTTCATCCCCAAAATTATCTTTCAAAAGAGAAGGTGGTATTTTATAGAGATTCTTAGAGACTTTATATTACAGGCATTCTCCCAATTACTCTGACTCTGAATAATAACATGTGGTTTGGGAAAATACCTTGCCCTAACCTGAAACACCTTCAAACAATGCTGAATTGGGATACTTATGGAAAATATTGAAGGAAAATTATTTAAAAAAAGAAAAGAAAAGAAAGAAAGGCAGGGCAATGTCACCCGTATTTGGGTAATTATTCCTGAAAGATTATAAAGCATTATAAACATGATCAAGAAGCAATACAACAAGAATAATGTTACAGAAATGTTGAGCAAATACTTGATGAAGAGACAAATTAAAAAGTCAACTGTCCTGATGTTGTTTGCGTATTTGGGAGTGGGGATAAAATTTCCAGGGACAAATTTAAGTTTCTGGACACAGATTTCAAAAGTGCCTTATCTCACAACCTCTTGGCTCAGAGGAGAGACGATGGGCTGAGTGCTCTAGTCATGACCATGATGGCACTGAAGGCGAAGGGGCCAAGTTCAAGTTAAATTTTCATGACATATGAAAGCAGGGTTAAGGGCAGTTCTTTAAGTCACCCTATTACTTCTATTTGATTTCTAAATAGGTAGATGCAATCACAGAATTCTAATTTTATGAGTCCGAAGGGTTTTTTAGGACTAAGTATTCGAACAACAACTTTGTTTAGGAAGTTGGAGAACTGTTTGATATTTGGGGCCACCCTACACACAGAGAAGAATTAATTCATCAGGCCTAAGACTGGTCTCCCCAAAAGTGCTGCTTGCAAGGCTGACCCTGGGCTGGCATCTGGGAAGTTAGATTGTGGGAGGCTTTCCTGGCCCCTTATTTCTTATTCTCTGATAAAAGTGGCTCCTGCCTAACTGTGCAAACGACACAGTATATGCTGACCACCTGCTTTCCTTTGGGGAGTCTGGGATTTTGGTGCATGAAAGGCAGATGGCACCTACATGCCCAGCCCCATCTTAAAAACCCTGGCCAAGAGTGCCTAACGGGCTTCCCTGGAAGACAACATTTCACATTGCTGTCAAACACTGTGACTGTGAGAATTCAGTGTCTCCTGTGTGTGACTCTGCTGGGAGAGGCCCCTCAACAGCTTGTACCTCTGGACTTTGCATCACATGCCTCTTGCCTATCTTGCTTTGCATCCTTTTGCTGTAAGAAGGCAGAGCCTTAGTAAAACTATATGCTAAATCCTACAAGTGGTCCCAGTCTGTCATCCAAGGTGGGTGTGGTCTTGAGGACCCTCTCAACACACCTTTTTGCCTTGCCTTACAATCGGATTTATATGGTGTATGTTGCACCGAACCAACAACAAGATAAGAGGAAAGCAAACAGCCATCAAAGCAAGACTTCAGGAGCTCAGCCCCACCCACTTATCTCCCTAGTTTTTCAACTGATCTCCCTCCAGCCAAAGGACTCAGGGGAGCCTACCACCAGAACTTCCCTTTCCTGGAGGATTTTCTTGCTAGAAATGTGGCATTTCCAAGAAAAAGGGAAGGCTCTTCCCCTCCACCCTCACTTCCCTTTAGGGCGTGGAGTGCCCAAGCATATTTCTATCCCACTTAAAGAGATTTTCTTGCATTAGAAAAGTAGACAATAAAATTAGAGCAAAAGACAGCAGTATATTCTCTTATCCACTGAAATGGAAAATAAATACCGTGTAAACCATGTAGTTCATCAAGTAATCAATTTTAGTTCTTTTAAATCTGGTTTTCCCACTGTTCTTCATTATCTTAGTGTCAGCACCTAAAAATGGAAAATTCAGTGGGATCAGCAATTGGGAAAAATCAATTAACTAGCATGTCAATAAAATTAGTCTTTCTTTGGCTTCAAGGGGAAAAGGACAGAAAAGCAATTTCCTACTTTAAATCTTAATAGCTCATAGCTGATTAATTTTCTAAGAAACTCTGAAAGTACCTGCAAAGATTACCAGTCCATGGCAGACATCAGTATTTCTAATGACACAGCCACGTAACAGAATTTTATCAGCATCCAAAGGAAAACTTCTCTTTCTCCAAAACAGCGTTCCTGTGAACTTATCTAGCCGGTTATTGGGTTCTTCACATTCAATAAAACCTTAAAAAAAAAAAAAGATCTGTTACACATAATCCCATATAAAAGACTTGTTCAACAGACACTCAAATCAAATAAATAACATTTAAAACAAAGTAAGATGCCTTTTGTACTAACCATCAAATGTTGCTAAGTTGTCTTCTCTTTGGAGATACTGGTCTGTGATTTCCAGCGCCATTTTGAACTTTAAATTGGTCTCTCTAAAGAAAGAAAGGGGAAAAAAATTAAATGAACCTATTTTGGAGTTCAAAAAGGAACATTAAAAAAAAAAATTGCCATAAAGTTCCACTAGGCATGGCTGGAAGTAAATTAGCTTGTTTTATCTTTAAACTCTTTTCATCTTGGAACTTTGAGTTTGAATGAAGTTATACCCTGAACTAGAGAAGAATTCCTAACCTGGGAAGTGCTGGTCTCCTTTGTGGTTTGCTATTGTGGCAGTTAGGACATGGCATGCCCACGACCTCCTTTTTACTAACTGAACTAGTTAACACCAGCGGGCTCTGATGGACTGTTGTTTGTTTTTTTTTTTTTTTTTTTTTTTAAATATAGTTTCTAACATTTCAGCCACAATAAGGTGATGATACATAACAAACCTGTTATAGATATTCTACTTAGCCTCTGTCAGCCCATTTTCTAGAATGAATAAATGAAACATGTGTTTCTGAAAAAATATTTTTCTTTGGGAAAGGAGGTGGTAGCTTCACCCCCAAACCTGGCCTACCCCGTCCCCAATGCAAGGGAAGGTTCACTGTGTGTGGACACATGGCAGCAGGTGGGGACAGATGCTCTCAGGAGGAAGGCCGAGCTGGACCCTGTAGGCACACCTACAATCCCAGCTACTCAGCAGACCCAGGCAGGAGGATGGCAAGTTCAAGGCCAGCCTGGGCAACTTAGTAAAGTAAGACCCTGCCTCAAGATAAGAAGGGTTAAGACTATGTCAGGGGTAGAGTGTTTGCCTAGCATGAGGGAAGCCCTGGATTCCATCCCCAGCAACACACACACACACACACACACACACACACACAGCAAGGCAGCTTTCCTAGGGAGAACAGCGCTTCACACATTTAACAAACACCCCTAGGGGAATCTCCAGCTATTGGGAAGCTGACCATTCGGTTTTCTTTCACGTCTTTGTAAAGCTTTAGTGTCTCTCGCTGGTGGGATGATTATTGCTAAGACTGAATGTCAGCCAACTGTTCAACAGAGGGAGGAAAGACCTCATTTCCGATGACATGATTCCAGCTCTCCATAAGTGGCAGGTGCCTCTCTAGGGTGTGAGGATCAAAGGGCACAGGGAGCAGGGTCCCAACTGCCACTTGCTGTGTGACCTTGGGCAGGCTACTTCACCTCTCTGGGCCTCCGTCTCCTTATGGGGAAGGTAGAGGTAATAATAATGCTCTTCTCATAAAGTTATTTTAAAAATCAAATAAGCTAATAGGCAAAGTGCCTTTGACCTCTTAAGCACTTAATAAATATATTGAGAACCAATCCAAAACAGAATATCATTCTCTCTGAAGTGATAGCAACTAAGGGAGAATTCGAAATTACCTAATGGCAAAGACTTTAAAAAAACCTTTTCCTTTCTCTGAAACAGATAATAACATCCACAGTCACTTCCATTTGTCTGGACACCACAGCAGTTCACCAGGGGCCCAGGCACGTGGTCTCCTTGAGAAGTAGGGAAAGGTGGGCAGTCCACTCTAAGGGTGGGGAAAAGAGGCCAGTGTACAGGGGACACTACCAGACTGCCAGTAAGTGACAGAGGCAGAGCCAGATGGCAGGGTCCCCTGCCCAGAGTGCACAGATCTGAAAGTCATGACCTTGCCCTCAAGGCCGACGCTGAAGCAGGCCCATCCAAGGTGCACTCACCCGTCTAGCTCGGCCGTCTCCACATAGCAGAGGCTGTTGGGCTCAGAGCTGGACAGCAGCAGGATGTCAGCCTGTTCAAGACAAAAGGCAGCTATCACACAGGGTCCCCAAGGTCACCTGAGCACGAGCCAAGGGTGGGCAGGGACAAGAGAGAAGGAACTTGCTCACTTACTGGAATAAAATCATTTTTCTTCAGACGAATGACATCTCCAACTTGAATGTCTTTCCACTTGGTAACTTTAAACCTAAAAAGTGTTAAAGATAATGTCATTTATCGGGCTGGGGATGTGGCTCAGTGGTAGAGCGCTTGCCTAACAGGTGCAAGGTCTTGGGTTCGATCCTTAGCGCCATATAAAAATGAATAAATAAAAGTATTGTGTTCAACTACAACTAAAAAATAAATATTAAAAAAAATAATGTTAGTTGGACTGGGGTATCACTCAACAGTAGAGCTCTAGGTACCATTCCCTGTTTAAAAAAAAAAAAAAAGTTTATTGGTTTTCTAAGTTTTAGGATAGAGACCTGCCATTCTTCATAGATGTCAAAGATTCTGGAAGTTGTGTAAATCACAGGGAAAATGTTGGCTAGAAGTTCACCCTTTGAATGATGTAAGTCCTGGAAGTGGTCTTGAGAATCGTATTTGTCTCTGCCAGAAGCAACTTGATGTGACCAATACATCAAGATATTCTTTCCACCCTGCCTCATGCAGGGAAGAGTCCATTGGGGGCCATGTCCACGTGTGGCTGGGTATACTTGGTGCCCCCTTTAGGTTTTGCTCATGGGCTGCTTCGCCTCCTGTCCTCCCTATTCTAGGTCACCCATCACTTGCTCACTCCCCAGGACAGACACACATGAGTGCTCCTCCATGGGCCACCAAGAATCCTCATGGGGCTTTAAGATTGGCTTCCTCTCCATTGTTTAAATTATCTCCTTAATGGGTATGTACCACTTTTACAGTAAATCTAATGAGGCTATTGATAAAAATAAGTAAATAAATAAAAGAAAAAGATGACTATCTTTAGTAATAAACTCCATAGGAAATTGCCATTTAAATTTCTAACAAGTCAACATTTTAAAAAGTTCCAAACATTTTTTATAAATACAAAAGATACAACTAATGGGCATGATGAACCCACCATAAGTAATCATTTCAATTATTTTGGAGACAGAAATCTAATTACTATTCTTGTCTTCCAATTTGTTTATGGATAAAAGAAACCTGGAGATTGGAAAGTCATTTTATATATATGCTTATGCCCTAGTTTCCCAATTTTATGAGAATTTATTACATAGTTCCAAACAGCAGGAATTTTTAAACTTGGCTTATCTTTTAACAAATGAAATTATTTCATATTTCAATATCTCCAAGGGTGTAAATTAGACATTTGTGTATAAATATGAAATTACAAATGGCACAGTGGTGAGGGGCACTGTGGGATACACCCGTAATCCCAGTGGCTCAGGAGGCTGAAGCAGGAGGACTGTGAGTTCAAAGCCAGCCTCAGCAAAAGTGAGGCACTGAGCAACTCAGTGAGAGTGAGTCTCTAAATGAAATACAAAATGGGGCCGGGGATGTGGTTGAGTGCCCCTGAGTTCAATCTCAAGTACCCCCGCACCCCAAAAAGAAAAAAAATGGCACATTGGCACCTTTCTGTCCCAGCTCTTTGAAAGTACTAGACGCTATCTGGTGGACTATTTTGTGTGATGTTCTGATTCCCCATGACGAGGCCTTGTGCCCTGCCCCACTGATGCCCAAGTTCTTACTGGCTTGACCCACTGCAGGGGTCAAGATTTGACCTAACTCTAAATTCAAGTCAATCACAGCTACTCCACCTGTGCCGTGAGGCATGCCGTTAGCTAAACAGAGTCGTGTGGTGTTTATGTATCTCACCACTATTCACGATATTGATTCTAAATGATTTGGAAGGGAACTTCTAGATCAGAATCTATTTATCTTCAAGAAGAAAAAAAGCCATGTCAACATATTTCGAGCTTATTGGTGTCTATTTTTGAATTAGACACAGATTGGAAGCATGGCTACCTGGGTTGTTTTCCTGAGTGTCAACATATTTTAAAAAGTTTTTGAGCCTCAGTCACCGTTTTTAGCAATTTTACCTTGAGGCTCTTGCTCAAGAAACAACTCATTACTGATCCCTGAGTTGATGTCTGGTGTCTCGGTCACCGCTGACTGCATTCATTGAACAAACATTTACTGAGCACTTTGTGCATGCTGGAGGTGGGACAGTGTCCTGGAGGAACTTACAGCGCAAGACAAAGGGGAGATGCTCACATCAATAATCCCAATACAATTTATGTCACAATGAAAATAAAATGCTCTGGAAGTATGGGGTGGAATCACTTTAGCTGGGGGACCAGGAAACGTGTCATGACATCCTGTATGAGCATAGCCCTGAAGGGATAAGCCTGGGAACAAGGAAGTGAAAGCAGCAAACTGCAGGCTGAAGGAGTCATGTAAATGCTGATGTGCTGATAACGTGAAGCCTACACACATTCACACGTAGTCCAATGTGGGTCTAGCCTACAGGCCATGAAGGAGGACCAATGTCTCTGTAAATTAAGATGGCTTCATGGAGCTGGGCAAGGTGGCACACACCTGTAATCCAAGTGGCTTGGGAGGCTAAGACAGGAGGATCATGAGTTCAAAGCCAGCCTCAGCAACAGCAAGGTACTAAGCAATGCAGTGAGACCCCGTGTCTAAATAAAAAATAAAAAATAGGGGGCTGGGGATGTGGCTCAGTGGTTGAGTGTCCCTGAGTTCAATTCCAAGTACACCCTTCTCCATCCCCTAAAAAAAGATGGCTTCGTGGTGAAAAAGGAAAAGTACTCATAGACTTCCAGGTTTTAATAGCTCTATCCAAATATGCAGACATACATTGCATCCTTATAACGGAGGAGACAAAGTACCTGCCATCCTTAATGACTTCGCATGTTCTATTATTGATCTCCTTATCCATTTTATGACGAGCCTTTAAAATAGAAATGAAGAAATGTTATTTTAATTATCTTAATACATAAAGGATTAATGTCAAAGTAGAATAAGCTTAGAGCAGGAAGTGGAAATTTGCATGAGAAATTCTTACCACATCGTCCACCAGGTCTTTGATTGCAGTGATGCCAAGTACCAGAAGTAGTGGGACAAGGGTGGTGTACCATGCCAGGGTAGAGATTTGAGGAATTGCCTAAAAGAAATAAAAAAGGCTTGACTACATGAAGGCAGAGCTGACTTACAGGTAACTGATGGCTGATTCCAAGCTGCTCGTTCTAATTTCCAGCATCATGTAAGTCTACAGCTGTAGAACACATAGGAAAAAGGTATTTAAGCACCCAACCTCTTTCTGGTGATTCTCTCTAGCTTCTGGTCATCTGGAACAGAGCCTGGAGGACAATGGCTCCTGAAATGATCACACTGTGACTTTCACTGGACATCAAGGGAGTTTTCTGACATGATAACGACAAGTGAACTGCTCTGAAGTTTTGTGGGAATCATAATTAACTGAAGGGGTTCATGCTTAACTTTCAGGGAAGGCGTGGAGGCTGTACAGAGTAGTTGCTCAGACAGTGATTTCTGTGGGCCTTGTGATGCAGGCCAAGTGGCAGCAAGGAGTGGCTGACTCTGACGCTGGTGATTAGGTGGAGCACTTAAGGAAGTGCTCCCTTCATGATCATTGCTATTGGTACAGCCCACAAAGGGGCTGGCCTAACAGGAAGCTCTACCTGCATCAAGGCAGCCTCCCAAGCTTGAATGGAAATTTGGAAAGTAAGTTTGAAAAGATTTCTTGTGACCATCCTGTTGATTATTGGGCCACATCATGTGGTAGTTATTTGAAATTCAATTCCCAGGTCCAGTCCTGCTTGGCTCTGTACACACAGGCTTTGGGCCTCGGAGCAAATTACTTTGCCTCTCCAAATAGTTCTTCTCTGCAAAATGGAGGCTACGTTACCTCATTGAGTACATGAATCCAGTGAAGAAACAATGAAAAGACAGGCAAGGAGGGCTGGGGATATAGCTCAGTTGGTAGAGTGCTTGGCTATATGCACAAGGCCCTGGGTTCAAACCCCAGCACCTGCCCCCCCAAAAAAATAAATAAATAAAAGAAAGGCAAGGAAAGCGCTAAGTCTATTGCTATTATCCTGATTATCCTGATGGGATGGCTGCACCTTAAGAGAAGGAGACCGGGGTGCAGCTCAGAGAGAGGAAGGTCACTTCCGCAGCACTGTGACTATGGGAATCTCTTCCCCTTGTAAAGAATTAAAGGAAAAGTAGTCCATTGACCACACAGTAGGACCTTGTAATCTGTTCACACACTGTCTGAACACGCCCCTCAACAGCAGGACCATCCTTTATGACAAGTCGGTGGATTTGTGTTCTACCAAATTTATTGAGTGTCCACTTCTCCCGAGTGTCTTTTCTCTACTTTCTCTCCTCTCCACTTCATTCCCCCTTGGACACACCATTTTATAAAACTTTAGTGCTGGAATCCCAGCAGGAGAGCTGTTTTCCAAACCCAACTCTTACACATGGTCTTTGTGACCCACATGTCAGGCATTGAAGGCAGACTCATTTCATCAATTATAGCAGCAGTTCCTACACAGATAGAAGTTTTGCTTTACAAACAACGAATCCTCTGCCACAATTAAAAACATAATCAGAAAGAAGGCTTTGTCTTATATTAAAAACCAGTTTGCAAAAATATAAGCTTGGAGCTGGGCACAGTGGTACACACCTGTAATCTCAGCAACTCAGAAGGCAGAGGCAGGGAGATCATAAGTTCAAGACTAGTTCTTGTCTCAAACCAAAAAATAAAAAGGGCTGGGATGTAGCTCAGTCATTGATTACTCCTGGGTTCATTTCCCCGGTATTTCCAAATGAAGTAAATTATAACATAAACTTACGACCAAAATATTAATAAAAATCAATAATATTCTTAGGGAAATTAGGCAACTAAGTACAAAAATAGAGGACAAACACAAAAAAAATAGGTTTCATCACAAATAATTCTACAAAGTGAAGATTTTAGTTTTATTCACTTTGGGGATATCAGTTTCAACACATACGTTATAAGAAATGAAACTAAAAAAAAAAATAGAACTAGAATCGACTTCCATGCATTTCCTTCCCTGTTCAAACACTGAGTGAGCTGGTTCTGTGGGTGAGGCACTACTTCCTTGTGTAGGAAGCTGTTAATACAGAACAGTTTCAAAACTGTCCACATTATGTGTTCAAAACTTAATGTTAGAAAGTCATCATGATTCACACAGATTTAAGAAACCAAAGGGCATTACCTGCAAGATAAGAAGAACCAGGAAATAGAAGTTAGCTGCTCTCTTAAACTGTTCAAATAAATTCATTGGTAGGAAGGTGAGTACGTTGTACTTGTATGTTTTAATTGCATTACTCTGTTGGAAAAAAATAAGAAAGTTATTCTAAATGGTGCCATATATCTCCATACCTGTAAAAGTCACTATATCCCATGGCCTACAGTGACCTAGGGCCATCCATCAGAAAGATTCTGATTCCCTGTAAGACTTTACTTCTAGCCAGGCCTCAGAATGACGACTTGGAGTCTTATGTCAGAAGGAGGAACAAGATACAGATGTGAGACTAGCCTTATGATCCTGCCCTCAATACTTTGACCCATGACAGCATCTTAGAAAAAGGGGTGAAGGCAGATGTCAACACAAGCAGATCAGAAACACAAATACCTTTATTAAAGGGGGAATGAAGAAGACCATGGAACAAAGAGTATAAGACAATCTTCTGGATTGAGCCATGTCCCCCAAAAGATACAAGTCCCAATCCCCAAACCTGTGAATGGAGTATTCTTTGGCAATGAGGTCTTTGCAGATACAATCTACATGAAGCCATAATGGATTAGATTGAACCCTAAGGTGGAGACTGGTGTCCTTATAAGAAGGGGAAAATTGGACACAGAGACACACAGGGATAATGCCACCTGAAAACAGAGGCAGGGATCAGAGGGATGTATCTACAAACCAGGTAATACCAGGGACTGTGGCAAACACCCAAAGTTGAGAGAGGCTCCGAACTGACTTTCTCTGGAGGAAGAATCAACCCTGCCAACATCTTAATTCTGGACTCCTAGCTCCCTGAACTGTCAGAAAATAAACTTCTGTTGTTCTAAGCCACCCAGTTGTGGTTCGTTAAGGTGGCCCTCAGCCCACACCTAACAGGTGTTTCATTGCGAAAGTAATCAGTATTATTTTAGGTGGAAAATAAATCGTTAAAGTCTTTAAACCCATCTTAGGCAAAGGAGGGAGAAAAATCAGTAATTAAGATTTGTTTCGAATTCATTACTTTCCAACATAAAGTTTTGGTGACATTATTTTATCTTCTTTTATAAAATATTTTAAAGAGAGCTTTGCACACACCTATAATCTAATTATAGTGACTTGTTTCAAGTCTTCTCTACCTATTGTCAGGGTAGATAAGCTTCAATAAAAATGGATTTTATACAACTAAGGAGGATTATCAACAGATCCAGGCTAGTGGTTACTTGGAAGGCAGGTGCGGTCTGAGGCTGGCAAGCATGATAGCAACTAGAGAAAATGGCTTTAATACATATAACTTAGGAATCAACTCACCGCATATTTGCTCTCCTTAATACAAAAGAACTTTGTGTTCATAAAATGAGGTTGTTCGTGGTACTTTCGATCATTCGCTTTAACTTGCCAAGTGCAATCTTTAAAAGAGAAAGAGAAAAAGTATGTAAATAGAAAAAGCAGGGTCATTGCCGAGGGAATCAAATTACAGTGAGGTCATCGGAATGGGTCCTAATCCAATATGACTAAGGTCTTTGTAACAAGGGGAAATTTGGATGCAGAGAGAGAGACAATGATACGAAGTCACTTGGAGAAGATGGCCATCTGTTAGCCAAGAGAGGCCTGAAGTGGATCCTGATCTCACCATCCTTGGAAGGAATCAAATCTGTGGTACCTTGATCTTGGACTTCCAGGCTCCAGAACTGTGAGAAAATAAATTTCTGTTGTTTAAGCCACCCAGCTTGTTTGTGGTACTTTGTTACAGCAGTGCTATCAATGTAATATCCAGGTTGTGACTTGACCAGGTGTTCACAGAACATTAGAATTTGAAAAGAATAATCCTCATCTAAACATGACCCAAACAAAAATACTAGGGCCCTAGAAGGTCACAGCTCAATTAAATTATTATTTTTTTCAATCTTACTGACATAGTTTGTAAAATTTATATTGCATTAAATATTTAATGAATGAATAAATCAGAGGAAAAGGATCTCACCACCTAATTCAACACTTCTCAGTCCTGAGGTTACCTGTCAATGTTGTGCACTGCCTCATCCTGATGACTAATGTTCATCAAGTTCAATGTCTTTCCAAGTTCTGAATGGACTCCGTCCATTCCATTGCTGTGTCTAGATTCCAGGGAACTTGAGAAAGCTTGTCTGCTGTGGGAGAGAACATTCTCACCCAACGAAAGTCCCATAAAATGTTTCTTCCCACCTCTCTCCCCCACATGACTTTGCTAGCCTGATTCTCCCTGGGATGGAAGACTGTGCTCCTATTTTAATAGAATAGTCCCCAACTCTGTCCAAGCCTCCATGTGTACCTCTGTATATTTATCATCCAGCATAGAGGCTCTTGGTGTAAGCTCCATCCTGAGATCCTCCCAAGAGCTCTGTGGTCACTGGACTCTTCCTATCTTTGCCTTAAACCCAGGCATCTCCATAAGTGTCCCCAGCTGCTATAGCCTTCCAACAGAGGCTTCAATTTCCCCCCACAGCCAGGAATATCTTTCCATGTGTCTGGAGGAAGACGGAGCTACAGCAGGAAGTTGGCCAGTGGCAAACTTCACCAGTAGCACTGTTTCTCAGGGTCATGACCAGAGATCTTTAAAAGCTTCAAGAGAGGGAGCCTGGTTCACTTGGAGATTGTTACAGACTTGCTGCCCTGGTGGCTGGGCATGCCCAGCATGCTCTTCATAGGACAACAGTATGACATCCGGCCGTGGACTCAAGGCCCAGGTCTCCCTGTGGACCAAGCTGTGCACGCTGATCATTTCTGCTCTTTTGTTGATCTGAAAGAAGTTGTTCCCTTGTGTCTGTGTGTCTGAAGCATCCCTCCCTTGGACAGGTGTCCCCTCTGGACATGTTGAACAAGCCACTGCACTGCTCACTCACAGCAGTCCTTCGACAGCTCTGCCTCTGCCTTTGGGTCTTGAAAATCACAGTCCCAGCTGGAGGGAGTGACTGCAGCTGCCCGTCACATTCTAGGACACGGGCCTCCACAGAAATTCACCCCTCAGCAGCAGCTATCCTTTATGACCCTCTGTGGCCTGTTCTTTTGGCTACCACCCCCAGCATACACATCTTCATCCTCAGCTGTCCCTCCACAGCCTCCCAGGGGTGAGGTTGACTCTGACCATGGGGAATGAGGCAGATGTGCACTTTGAGTGAGCACATTCTTATGAAGAGGGGTAATGTCAGCCCCTCTCCCACACACCTGCTCTACATCCCAGCCACACCAGCCAGGACAACAATCACCACTACTGCGCCACCCAGAGGCCACGAGTGCCATGTGTTCCTTTCCTTCCTAGAGTGGTTCTTGGGCAAGACTAGAACATGCCAAGCTTATTCTTATATTCATATAGTAGCACCCCAGATACCTTTTGCATGACTAGGAAAAGCAAAATCCACAAGCGCTGAGGGGCAGTTTATCCTCGACTTGTTTCCTTTCTACCAAAATGGGTGACCTATCGGTGGAACCTAAGCACTGACTTGGAAGGGTGGCTTAGGACAGGTTTAACCTCTCTCCTGCTGCCCCCATGTGTGACTATGCTCCGGAGGACAAACACACTGCTACTGAAGGCTGTAGACAAGAAGAAAATCCCAGGCAGAACCTGTCAGCATTGGCCTTCCCATGAATTTCCCTTGATGAAGTGCATGCACATGAGTCCCTCCCTGTGATTCTTTAAATCCACATGTGGGTAAACCAGGTTTTGATAAAATTTACCAGTGTGGCACAACCATTTTTTGGAGAAGGGAAATATATTAAAGAGCATTTACAAGTAAGAAATTACAAAATGATCAATCTTAGGGCTATTATAAAGCTAAAGACATCATACTTTCGAAAATATTTCATCTCAACTTTTTAAATGGCTCATTTTTCCAACTCCTACTCCCTAGGAAATAGAGATAATACTGTAAGAGGTTCAAGTGTGGTCTACTGAAGAATGCAAATAATTAATCTGATTACTTTTTTTAAACCACAGTACTGTTACTGAATGCTTTTCTTGCACGATTTCAGCTGCCACTCATCGGGTATTCATAAGTGTTATGTTGTGACAAATAGAAACGTTCCTGGCATCTTTCTGCTCAAGTGCACTTTTATCAAAAGGGAAAATGAGAAATGGAACCATAAGCCAACCCATGAGCACTATAATAATGTCTGCAATCAGAACATTTCTTTCCCACTCCAAGAAGTGCTCTAAAGGAAAATAAGTTAAAAGAAAAAAAAAAAAAGAAAAAGAAAAAGACATTACACAGGGTAATCTTGAATCCATTCTATTTCATGGTAATCTATAAATGTATGTGCTCTTAATGGTGTACTTGAGCTAGCAGATGACTTGGTGACATAACCTGGCTACTATTGTTCTAGAATACCTCTAAGAATACCAGGATGCCATATTAAATGTCAGAAAGGCTGAGCAGAAAACCAGATGAGATTCCTGGAGAAGAGAGAAAAGGCCCCATGACAATGGTCTCAAATCAATCTTAAATACTCAGGACCAAAGAACAGCCATCCCGTTAATGAGCTGGATGTCACAAGCTTCCCCAGCCTTCCTGTGGTTCCCCATGTGGCTCTGTAAATCTACTTGGTAATTAAGCCCCCATCTGCTGGTTGCTCTATCTAGTCCCTGCACCACACCCTAACCCCCAGTCCACTTTGATTTGGAAGTCTCAGAGGAATGCTTTCTGACCTCAAGTAGGAGCATCTCGAGGTTACGAGGTATGGCCTTGGCTTCTTAATTTGACGTATTTGATAAAACTTAGGGTAGCCCAGAGAAAATCACCGATGTGTCTTCCTATCTGAGATTTAACCACAAGAGCCTTTCTACTTGACTTTCGATTGCAGTCAAGTAATCGAAAACCCTATTTCCAGTTAAGGTTCCGTGTTTGCCCTAATTCAGACAAATCAATGGGCAAACAAAGTGATGTCTTCTTCGATTTTTTTCCTGAGATTTGAGCTAATTGTTTGAGTTGCATTTCAGTCAAAGATCTTACAGAATGTGAAAATGGTGTTCTGTGGTCAAAAAGACATTTGCAAAATTGTGCATCCCTCTCTCAGACACGAAATGGATGCGTTGAACCATTAAAGGCTCTGAGAAGCCCTGGAGTAAAGAAATTTATTTAATTCATCTTTTCAAAATTCATGTGATCATGGGCATATTTTTAGGTCATCACTGAACACTTATTAATATTGTTTGAGAAATGCTGCAGTAATGCGTGTATGTTTAGGAAGGCTAAATACTTGAGGTATTTGCCTTTTGGGTCAAATATTTATTAAGTATCCACTTAGACCTTTATTGGAAACTTGGACCACAGGGCTGATTTATAGAAAAAGAAGATATCTTGTTCCATTTTCTGGAATGGAAATACAGATGAACAGAAGAAAAATAGTAAATTTACCAGCAAAAAAATAAACTGCACTTTCACCATATGGCCCTTTAGTTAAAAGCCACAAAGACAACTCTCCAGGGTTGTGTCAACAAAACCATCAAGGCACATGTCCAGAGATGCATTTAACATGAGCCACATGTGGTCCCAAACCTCCCCTCAGTCTGGCAAATGCTTGTGTCATTGAAGCATCTAAACACTGCTACGTGATGTCTAGAGTGTTCCCACAGTCACCAAGTCCTTTGATCACCACCATCTGGCAAGGAAATACACTGGCCTCAGCCCTATCCTCTTTGCTGGCTCTGAATTCTTGCTTTACAGATCTACCAAGAACCAAAAACCTCCATTGACTGGTACCAACCACAGCAAACTTGGAGAGTAGACAGGTCAAAAGCTTAAAATCATAACAACCAAAAGAAAACAAACAAGCCAGAGAGAGAAATGGATGTAGGACATGAATAGACAGTTCATACAAAGGGAAATTCAAAAGGCTCTTCAATGTGTAAAAAGATATTCATGGTCATCAAAGAAAAATGTAATTTCTCATAGAGGTCCCAATTTTTACCTTATTATTTATATAAGAAAAAATATTGGCAGAGTAAAGAATATAATGACACTCTGGGTTAAAAAACAAGGGGAGAATTTAGATCCTGTAGATAGTCTCTGTGGAGCATTAGCCCCCCGCCCCATCTCTGAATAATCCCACTAGTAGGACTTATTCTCCATGTATATACCACCCCTAGGGTGCTGATGATGGCAATGTCACACTGCAGGGCTATTCAATGCAGCCTGTTTATCAGAGAGATTAGAAACAAACTAAATGCCTACCAAAGCAGCTGCTTAACAGGTGACTTTATATGGACAATTGGGAAGTTCTCCATATGACACAGTTAAAGTGACAGAAGCAGAAGGGTGCTGACCATCCTGTGCTTTCAGCTGTGTGATGTACTGAATTAATGCACAACATAAATGCATACATGCACATACACATGCCTATAATCTGATGTCATGTGTATCCCTGAGCACATCAG